TCACTAAATGACAAAGGCAGGGACCAATTCTTCAATGTCCCACATTAGGAGAAGAATAGCTTATCTGGAGGAAGGTGTGGAATGCATGCCACACCTGTCCAAAACCCTTTTTCCAACTATACTTAGCTAGGGCTAAGGGGAATACTTCAGGATTTACCCCCTTTCAGATTTCTGGTCCCTTTGTGTTCAAGCCATTAGGGCAGAAAAGGGAAAATCCATTTTAAAGCGAAGCCCACAGACCATCCCAACATTTCACCAACCCAAGCACTTAGTTCAGCCAAGCCTTTGAGTCTTAGGGGGTGACGATGAAGATGGACTCCTTAAGGAAGGCCTACGTTGCAACCAATCAGTCAGGTAATGAGGTCATAGGTATACACCCTATGAAAACGGAAGGAAGAACATTCGTGTTGATTCACACAGCAACCTACAAGCCAGTCTCTGTGCCTGTGAGACTGTCTTTTGGGAAGACATCCAGTTGCAAGGACTTTGCTGAAATGACACTTAACAGTTGCAATTTGACAGGTCCTTCGTGCCTGTAAATTAAACATCTTTGGTGATATTACAAACGCAGTTGCAACTTCCAAATGAAAACATACTTTCAAGACAGTTAAGCTGTGCTATTCTGATGTCCAATATGGAGCATTGCAATTTTCCTCAAACCACAATTGTTCTCCTTAGGATCACCCTCAATTGTCATTAAAGGGACTACATTGAGTCCAGTTTTTAATTTTGCCTGTTTGTTTGCATAAACATACCAAGAGCAGCCATGGGTTATCCATGATCTTTAAGTCCACTCTGCTGGAACTCATACAGGGAACCTTTAGACTGACTGTTTAGTCTGCTCTTCAGAGTACAGAAGCTGAGCCACACATCTGCCTTTTGGCTTCGCTTGTACCAGTTTCGCTCAAGTCCTCAAGGCTTCCATTGTGCCTGCAGGTTCCTTTTTAACCATCTTTCAGGAAAGCAACCTCCATTCCTTCCCTGGAAAGACTGCCACAAACCACAGAACTGACCAAGGTTCCAGGCTTTTTTCTCATGGGCTTTGGTTAGCTTTGCAAGTCAATCCCAATTCCTCAGGCTTTCTGATGATATCTAGAACCCAGACATGCCTCCTTTAGGTGTGACATTTCATTCAAAATCTTGCTTAACAAAATCACCGTTAATGACTGGTCTTACTAGTTTTATGCAAAGAAACCCTATGCCATCATCCACTCCTTCAGAATGCCAAGTTCATGCCAAGTTCTGGAGGGATCAGGTAAGGAGAAAAATACAAAGCGTGAAGGAAAAATCCTTGTCCTTCTGATATCCACCAAGATTGCATTTCCATGCCTTACACCTTCTCTTCCTTTGCTAACTTTGGGTACATAGGAAAGCAGGGTGGAGGAGTAGTTATAGCAGTTGATTCAGGGGTTGAGGTCTTGGGGCTCTGAGGCCTGCTATATTCCCTCTGAGAGACAGGTGGGGGAACTTTAAAAGGGATTATCTAGAATGTCATCGATAAACCCCAGAGTAGATGTTTCCTTCAACCCAGAACAAAGAGATAGAGCATGAGATAACACAAAAGAAGCTTGTACATACGGAAGCTCCAACCACTTGCCTAGCCTCGAACAGAATAGATGTCTTCAGAGTATGGTGTTGTAATTGCTATTCCCATTTTTAGGCCATGCCTTCCTCTCAGTTTGTACTGAGGCCAAGCTGTATTATACAAGAAAATCAGTCTCTTTTTTCTCAAGACACTCAGGGTCAAATTTATCCCAGTTTCTGAGGATGCATCCCAGCAGGGATCCTCAGGGGTTATCATTTGGTCCTTGGAAAAGAGAGCAATGAAGACTGGAACTCCTGGGCTTGGAGGGGCGTCTCTGCTCCAGGAGCCAATGAATGGCATCCTGTGTTTTTTCCCACCACGAAGCGTCTCCCTCCAGACGTCTCTAGCGACACAAGAGAACGAAGACTAGAATTCCTGAGCTCCCAAAGGGTGTCCTCCTTGGTTACCCAGGAGCTGACTAATGGTTCATAGGGTGTCCCCTGTCTCCTCACCGCGAAGCTACCAGACATCTCTGGCGACATGAAGCATGATGCGCTGGCCAGCGAAAGACCAAGAGCTGAGGTTGCCATGGATTATTTGTATCCCCTTTGCTACTGGTGAAGTCAATAGCTTTGATTAAACTGGACCCTTTCAGCAGATCTCAAGGCTTTTATAAGTTTAGCTTCTCACCAACAAGGAGTTGGAGAGAGAGAATGGCACTAGTCATTTGGTGTATTTCCTGCAAGGACTGGAGGCTGACACAATACTGTTCAGTTCAGTGAGAAGTCCCTACTGTGGTGAAATATTTGCCACCTATGTGACTCTGGGTTGCTACTGTCTTGTGATCTTTTAGATTAAAACACAGAAGGTACTTAAGAAGAAAAGGCAAGTCCATCTCTGTAAAAATACAGAATACAGATTTGGGGGGAATGAGCTGGGAAGTAGGCTAAGGTCTCAGGCTCAGGCCTCAGGCGCAGCTGAAAAATGCCTGAGTTTACAAGTGTCACTTTTTCCTATGGTGTTGGAGAGGCAGGTACCCCGATGTTTTTGTGTAGTGAGTTAATTACCCTATTGTTGTCAGGACCTACTACTGCCTAGATCTAGAATTCTGACTTACATGCTTACATTTCCTTTTCTTCAGGTTTAAAAACTTTCACAATCTTTATACATATTTTACTCATCCAGATTTAACCATAATTCACTTTTAATCCCTGTTCCTTTCCACACTGGGAAGGACTATACTCAGACTCATTACCTGGCAGCTAAAAGTCCTTGACTTTGCATCTTCTACTAAAGGTCCCTAGATTCACAGGGACATCCTGCAGCTTTCTGAATCTTAGACCTTGCAAATTCTCTATAACTCAGATGGTCACTCTTGGACCCCAGTTCATGACCTTTAAAGCCAGAGCGATCCCTATCAGAAAGAGTTGCACAGAGAACCTGAGTGGTGCAGTACCCACACAGCAGCATAATCTGAAGAGCGTGCTTAGCCCACCACCTGGCCCAGTTCTGAGACAGCAGCCCCCATGCACGCCGGGTCGTCTAAGACAGCGACACCCAAGCATGACCCATCCTCCATGGTGGAGCACTCACATGGCTCATCCTCCATTTTACCCAAAATGGCGGTGCACCCACCTGGCTTGCTGTATGATCCCCAACATGTATGTGGGCTGAGGTTACAGAGCCTAGGGGTTCCTTGCCTCCCCAAATCTGCTCCTTTACACCACTCTGGCATTCCTAGTGACCAGTGGCTCCAGCTGGGGTGCAGGGCAGTTCCTGGAAACTGGGAAGCTCCAGAACAGTGCTCCAGGGGTCGGCCTGTACCACGTGGCTGGAACCTGAGTACAGGTTTCCTTAGTTCCATTTGGTCTTGACAAAATTGTAAGTGAACAGACAGGAGCAACCTGGAAGCAGCATATTTACCAAACTATTATCCACAACTCCATTATTCCAAAACAGTGTTCAGAAAGAAATTTGCAGCCAAACTATCTCACTTCTCTGATCCCTTCCCAGGTCTACTTCCTTTTCACCTTTTGGGCAGGATTAGGCGACCGATGCCCTCCCAAGGGGTGCAGAGAAAATCTGAGAGACCGGGGAAATCCTGCAGTCTCACTCTCCGACACCTGAGGGGGTCGGCCTGCCACGGGCAATTCTTCGTCCCTTTGTGGTCGCCAAAGCAACCACCCCCCTGCTGTCACTGTGCTTTCGTGTAGATGGCTCCATGGAGTAGCTTAAATCGTTGGTGTTTCTTTTTTAACTTAGCATAGGTAAGTTAGGTATTGTATTGAATACTTTAGCTATATACTTAAAAGACATTGCATAAAAGGCCTTTTGGGTCAGGTAGGTGTTTTAAACCCATCCAAAAAAATATTTTTGTTAAACGAATTTTTCAGAAAATTTTCTGAGACCAGCAAAATTCTTTATTTAGTACCAATACTTGAATTTAATTTTGCCTGCTGATTGTAACTTTGTAAAGAAAAGGGGAGATAGGGAAGGATACTAGTATTTGTAAGCGTTTATGGTGTGTTGGGCCCTGCAGTTTACTTGCATCATTTAATCCTTATTTTAAACTACAAGGCAGGTAGTGTGATCTCCATCTAAGCAAAACGAAACTGAGACCCATCAGGGCCAACTCCATAGTGCAGGGCTGGGCTTGAACCCAGAGCTCTCTGGTTTTTCCCAGCCTGTCCTCTCCCCTCTGCCCCCACCATGACTGTTATGTAAAAATCCAAATCAATGTTTTAGGGGAGGAACTTGTACTGTAGTCAGCCCTGCCACTCTCATTAAGTTTTCCTGCCCTGTTCCTTCCATAGGTCTGGTTCCAACATTAACTTTGCAACTTTAAAATAACCCAGTATGAAGGATCCATCTGAGGACATGCAACAGTTTTTCTGCCCAGATTTCCTGGTTCTTAACTGGAACCTCTGGCAGGCAGGCTCCAGCTGACACAAAGAAAATTTGGCGTAGAGAAAGTGAATCATTTACCCAGACAGCTGGGATTGGGTAGAAACTGTTGAGGGCATAGAAAAGGTGCTAGTAAACTCCTTTGGGAGGTCAGAATTGGAAGTGATTTTCTCTGCTTAAAGGTGAAAAGAGATTTGGGAACAATTTCAGGGAGGAAATACCATTTAAACAGAGCCTTGGCCTTGAAGAATGGGGAAAAACTCATTTCAAGCAGAAAGGAAACTGTAAACAAAGAGGCAGGAAAGTGGGTGCATTTGTGGGAAATAGGGTATTAATAGTGCTGTATTATCAACAGCTTATGCTTTGTAAACAGCACTGGGGCTTAGCTATCTGCTCTAAAACAGTGCATTCCGTAACCCAGTGTATCACAGTTATCTATTGTTGGAGGAGCAATCTCGCAAATGATACAACACATCTGGAAATTCTGCCTTTTAAGTGGTATATATTTGCATAGAAGTGGTCATGTTAACTAATGTTGCTTTCAAGATCCTGTTTCATTTTGCTTCTGCAGAAGGAAACTCCACTTGCCAACGCCGCATTCTGGGCAGCGCGGAGAGGAAACCTGGCTCTGCTCAGGCTGCTGTTGAACAGCGGTCGGGTGGATGTGGACTGCAGAGACAGTGTATGGATGGACTCATTCGGTATACGCATGCCAAGAACATGCCGTGTCCCCCCATTGGCATGAGAGCACCTCTTGAATACATTTCCCTTAACAGTGCTTATCTACTCTTTCATGTGTTTGCTTGCTGTGCTAGCCTTTTCAAAAAGCCCGATGCGCCATGGTGAACTTAAAAATGTATTGGGGAAACTATTACATGTGGAAAAGAGAAGGAGGCCACAATAAGGAAAGAGACACTTCACCAAGAATCAGAATTGGCAGATTCCAGAAAGAAACGGGTGTTTAGTCAGAGAATTCAAACCAGCTGCTTTCTTGAAAAAGGTGGAGGTCATTTAGAGCAGAAGGGGGCTGCTGTGGAGGTTGGGTTAGGTCTTCTACGAGGATGAGAGAACTGAGAAGTGGGAGCCTCCGCCAGATTCTTACCCTCCCATTACCTTTACAAACATCAATACACTAATTGGCAATTAAGGAGAACCAAAAATAAACACTACTGCCCCCTGGCAGGCATGGGCAAAGAGAGCCCCTCCCTCTCCAGCTGGAGGTAATGATTTCTCTGTACTTAGCCTGACTTCTCCACATCTCTGGGGACAAGGAGGACCTCAGATGAGAGAAAGAGAGCAGAGATGTTTTGATTTTAGGATTTAAATAAAAATGTTTTTCAAAGGAGCCTTATTGTTTTCCTGAAAACAGGATGTGCCGTTTCCAGCTTTTATTGCACAAATTCGGTAAGATCAGCCACCGGCCACAGGGAGATACCAGCATGCTCCAGTGCACCCGCTGGGGCATCGGTGCCGGGTACCTTGGGTTTGCACCTCCACATCCGCGCACACCCTTCTCTAGCTTCCCCAGAACCTGAGCGGTATGGCCTGTCCCAGTGGACTTGCTTCCCTCTTCCTTCCAGCTGGGTCTGGCCAATGGGAACATTGGCAGGAGTCAGCGATGATGGGGAGCCCAGTGCACACTCCCCCACCCCTCCCTGGTAGCAGCATTCTGGGAGCCACCACCTACCCCCAACCCCCACCCTCCGTCCTTCAGGCCTGGGCTGGCTGTGGAGCCCACTGTTACAGTTCCCAGTGCTACACTATTATTTATAGTGTCCCTGCTCCCAGGGCACAGCTTTATAAATAGTCTCTTTGTTAAACTTCCTTCCAGTTACCCCAACTTCAATGTACTATCTGTTCCTTGCCAGGACCCAGACTGATGAGGGTCTTGGGCACCTGGGCCCTGGCCATCCTGGTCTTACTTGGGCCTCACTGGGCAGTAGAGCCACACTGGGCAAAACCGAAGTAGGGATACTGGTTTTCATTGTGGCCTCAACCACTGGCCAGGTAGATGGCTGTTTTTCCCTCTTTTCTTGAAGCCACTCCTTTTTCAGACACCTCTGTGGCTTCCTCCTGACTTTCAGCTTCCCAGGGTCACCATATAGTGCCACACACACATCCTATACCCTCCCCCCCCCGAAAGGACCCCACACTCAGCCCTGTCAGTGCCCTTTCCCCATCAAAGGTCACCTCCTACCACTACCTCCTTTCCCCTTAGGGCTCACCATATGTGTCTGCTGGGTCACCCAGTAGCTGTTTTGATCCAAAAAATTGTGTCTATAAATAGATATTAATGTGTTTTTAGGTTACTTCTTGTTTAAAATAAAAATTCACTTTATCAGGGGCCTTCAGGAGAGATGATTCCTTAACCCACAAAAGCAAATCTAAATGATGGTAATTTCAGGTGCCCTTTTATTTTGAAAGGACTTCTAACATTGGTGGAGACTCAGGGGCAGGGAGATGTTTGGACCAGTACAGGCCTTTGTTTCCTCCAGATTTCACTGGGTGGGTTTCTGCCTCTTCCACATGCAACCTGAATGTGGAGTCTGGGTTTCAGGATGGTTTCTTCTTGTGGTGAATGATCTGTAGGCTAGTATTACCCTCACTGGTGGGGCAAGCCTCAGGATTCCCTAGGATGCCAGTAAGAGCTGATACAATGCAAGGAGAGGCCCTAAGCCTTTGCTGGGAACTGCTCCTAACCTCAGGTATGACCACATTCAAACTTTTCCATTAAACAGCTTGGTAAAGACAAATATACATTATCTCTAGACCACACACAATGGGAAACACTTTGATTTGCTAACACTCATTCACCTTAGGTTTCTAGATTAATGCTATCTTTAATGATTTTTACATTTTTCTCTTTGTTCATCTCTTTGACACTTTTACCACAAAGATAAGCGATGGCAAGTTTGCGAATGTATGTAATTCACCATCTTGTTGGTTGTGGTCTTCTCTATATTTATATCCACTGTGTCCTCTGTTCGAAATCAGTTCATTTTAAAAGATACACTTCAACATCACATAACGAAATGAACTAACCTTAATCATTAGAGAATTTAAAGCAGCCAAGCTAACAGGTTTTGAATATAAAGAAATACTTTTTGGTCGCTTAAGTCATCAACAGATACTTCTTTATTTTTTTCCTTTATTTCAACCTCTTTTCTCAATTGACCATCATCTAGAATTGAAATACAATCTTTAAAGAAGCATTTTTGTTATTTGTTTCTTTCATCTTTCCTTATTTTAACACAGAGGAGCCTAATTTTTTATTTTCTTTTTTAAATATTCAAGTTAAGTGTTCTGTGATTCCTCTGGCTCATGATTGATTTTTATTTTAAGACCAGTGTGACCCATGATAATTTTTTTTTCATCCCACTCATATAAATATAGTCATAGCTTGTCTGTTTAGACTGGTCTTATTCATGTATTTATTTATTTATTGTATTTTTTCCACTACCATTTAGCCCCGCTATGCTTCCTCCCCTCCCCAGCAATCACCACATTATTGTCTATGTCCATGAGTCCTTTTTCCTTTTTGCTCAGTCCCTCCGCCCCTTACCTTCCCCCTGCCCTTAGTTCTCATCCTGCTCTCTACTTATGAGTCTCTCTCTATTTTGCGTATTAGTTTCATTGGTTCATTAGATTCCGCATATGAAGGAAATCATATGGTATTTGTCTTTCTCTGACAGGCTTAGTTCACTTAGCATAATGTTCTCAAAGTTTTTCCATACTTTCACAAAGAGTAAAATTTTCTTTTTTACAGCCGAATAATATTCTATTGCATAAATGTCCCATGGTTGTTTTATCCACTTTTCTGCTGATGGATACTTGGGCTACTTCCATGTCCCTATGTTTTTTCGAATTAGTGTATTGGGTTCCTTTGGATATGTTCCCAGAAGTGAGATTGCTGGACCAAAAGGAAGGTCCATTTTTAATTTTTTGATATATCACCACACTGCTTTCCGCAGTGGCTACCCCAGTCTGCATTCACACCAACAGTGCACCATGTCCTTGCCAGTACTTGTTATTTGTTCATTTATTGATGAGAGCCATTCTGACAGGTGTGAGGTGATATCTCATTGTGGACCTAATTTGCATTTGGTGATTAGCGACATTGAACATTTTTTCATAGGTCTATCAGCCATCTATAGGTCCTATTTGGATAAGTGTCTATTCAGGTCCTTTGCCCATTTTTTAATTGGGTTCTTTGTGGGGGGGGGGGGGGTGTTGGTGTTGAGTTTTGTAAGTACTTTATAAAATTTTGATATTAACCCCTTATCACATGTATCGGCAAATATGTTCTCCCATTCTATGGGCTGTTTTTTTATTTTGTTGATGTTTTTCCTTGCTGTGCAAAAACTTTTTAGTTTGATGCAGTCCCATTTACTGGTTTATTTTCTTTTGTTTCTCTTTCCTGGGGAGATATTTCTGAAAAAATATTGCTATAAGCAATGTCCGAGATATTGCTGCCTATCTTTTCTTCTAGGTTTTTATGGTTTCGGGTCTAGCATTTAAGGCTTTAAATCCATTTTGAATTAAGTCGTGTGTGGTGTAAGAATGTGGTCTACCTTCATTTTTCTGCATGTATCTGTCCAATTTTCCCAACATCGTTTATTGAATAAATTGTCTTTAGCCCATTGTATATATTTGCTTCCTCTGTTGAATATTAATTGACTCTAAAGGTGTAGGTTTATATCTGGGCTCTCTATTCTGTTTCATTGATCTATGTATCTATTTTTATGCCAGTACCAGCCTGTTTTTTTATTACTATGGCCTTACAGTATAGTTTGATATTAGGTAGTGTGATTCCTCCAACTTTGTTCTTTCTCAGGATTGCTATTGCTATGTGGAGTCTTTTGTGGTTCCATATAAATTTTTGAAATAGTTGTTCTAGTTCTGTGAAATACAATGTTGGAATCTTGATAGGAATTGCATTGAATCTATAGATTGTTTTGGGTAGTATGAACATTTTAATGATGTTAATTCTTCCTATCCATGAACATGGTATTGCTTCCACTTATTTGTATCTTCTTCAGTTTCTTTCTTGAGTGTCTTATAATTTTCTGAGGACAGGTCTCTCATATCCTTGGTAGACTTACTCCTAGCTTTTTATTCTTTTTGAAGCAATTGTGAATAGGATTGTTTCCTTAATTTACCTTTCTGTTCATTATTGGCATATAAAATGCAACTGATTTCTGGATATTAATTTTGTATGCTGCTACTTTGTTGAATTCATTTATCAGTTCTAGTAGTTTCTTGGTAGAATCTTTCAGGTTCTCTATGTACAGTGTCATGTCATCTGCAAATAAAGACAGTTTAACTTCTTCCTTTCCAATTTGGATGCCTTTTATTTCTTCTTCTTGTCTGATTGCTGTGGCTAGGACTTCCAGTACTACGTTGAATAAGAGAGGTGAAAGTGGACATTCCTGTCTTGTTCTCAATCCTAAGGGGAACACTTGTAGTTTTTGTTGGGTTTTTTTTTTTTTTTTTTTTTTTGTGCATTGAATATGATGCTGGCAGTGGGTTTGTCATATATGGCCTTTATTATGTTTAGGTATGTTCCCTCTATTCCCACTTTGCTGAGAGTGTCTATCACAAATCAGTGCTGGATTTTAACAAATGCTTTTTCTGCATCTATTGCTATGATCATGTGGTTTTTATCCTTCATTTTGTTTATGTGGTGAATCACATTTATTGATTTATGAATATTGTACCAACCTTGCATTCCCAGAATAAATCCCACTTAATCATGGTATATGATCTTTTTCATGCATTGCTGTATTTGTTTTGCTAATATTTTGTTGAGGATTTTAGCACCTATGTTCATCAGGGATATTGGCTTATAATTTTCTCTTTTTTTAGTTGTCTTTATCTGGTTTTGGAACTAGGAAAATGCTGGCCTTGTAAAATGAGCTTGGGAGCTTTCTTGCCTCTTCAATTTTTTGAAATAGTATAAGATGGAGAGATGTTAGTTCTTTTTGAAACATTTGGTAAAATTCACCTGTGAAGCCATCTTGTCCAGGACTTTTGTTTGTTGGGAGTTCTTTGATTACAGCTTCAATTTCACTAAGTGTAATCTGTTTATTCAGATTCTCTGATTCTTTCTGATTTAGTTTTGGAAAAGTGAATGTTTCTAGGAATTTATCCATCTTGTGCAGGTTGTCCAGTTGTTGGCATATAATTGTTTATATATTTTCTTATAATCCTTTGTATTTCTTTGGTGTCAGTTTCTATTTCTCCTCTTTCATTTCTGATTTTATTTATTTGGGTCCTCTCTTTTTTTCTTGATGAGTCTGCTTAAAGGTTTGTCAGTCTTCTTTATCTTTTCAAAGAACCAGCTCTTAGATTCATTGATCTTCTGTATCATTTTTTTAAGACTCTATTTCCTTTATTTCTGCTCTGGTCTTTATTATTTCCTTCTTTCTACTCACTTTCTCACTTTGGGTTTTGGGGTTTTTTTCCCCCAAGTTCCTTTAAGTGTAAAGTTAGATTATTTATTTGAGCTTTTTTTTGTTTTATGCTATGCTGTAATGCTATGAATTTCCCTCTTAGGATTGCTTTTCTTGTGCCCCACAGATTTTGGATTGTTGTGTTCTCATTTTCATTTGTTTCAGGGTGTCTTTTGATTTCTTCCTTGATCTCGTTATTGACCTATTCATTGTTTAATAACATATTATTTAACTTCCATGTCTTTATGTGTTTTTCAGTGTTATTCTTGTGATTGATTTCTAGTTTCATAGCATTGTGGTCAGAGAAGATGGTTGATATGATTTCAATCTTCTTAATTTATTGAGACTTGTTGTGTGTCCTAACATGTGATCTATCCTAGAAAAGTTCCATGTGCACTTGAAAAGTATGTATAGTCTGCTGCTTTAGGGTGAAATGCTCTGAAGATATCAATTAAATCCATTTCATTTAGTGTGTCATTTAAGGCCATTGTCTCCTTGTTGATTTTCTGTCTAGAAAACCTATCCATTGAAGTCAATGGGTTATTAAAATCCCTGACTATGACTGTACTTCTGTTGATCTCTCCCTTTATGTCCATCAAGGTTTGCTTTACATACTGAGGTGTTCCTATTTGGGTGTGTAAATGTTTACTTGGGTAATATCCTCTTGTTGGATTGTTCCCTTTATCACTATGCAGTGTCCTTCTTTGTCTTTCCTATAGCCTTTGTTTTAAGGTCTATTTTGTTGGATATAAGTACTGCTACCCCAGCTTTTTTTCCTTTCTATTGTTTCTATGTATTGTTTCATGCTGTTGAGTATCCTTATAATCATTGCTATAAACACTATCTGATAAATTGCTTGTCTCTACTTCATCTAGTTCTTCTTCTGGAGAAGTCTCTTGTCTCTCATTTGGAGCCTGTTTCTTTGTTTTCCCATTTTGGCTGTCTCTTTGTTTGTTTCTATGTATTAGGTAGATCTACAAGACTCCGATTCAGGCCTCAGTCAAACCCTGCCTGTGACTGGCCCTGGGCAACCTGTTTGGGGCTATCAGTCACCCGCAGTTTGCTGCTCCCTCTGCTGGGTCTTGGTGTGTGTAGAAAGAACCAGGCTACACACCACAGCTGTCATTTACCTGCAACTGGACCCATGGGCATGTCAGCTAAAGTCTCAGAGCTCCCAGAGATCTGGCTTAGGTGTTCAATTTAATCAATGATATAGCCTTAAGCTGTACTCAGCACACAAGCTTAAGCTTCACTTAGTGGGACAGAGTAGCTCCTGCAGGTGAGGCTAAGGCTTCCCGACAGGCTGATGCCATTTGGAGAGGCAAGTTCTGCCTGAGAAGGGTGGCCTCTGCAGTATGGGGAATGATTCAGCATGGAGGTCCTGGCAGCTGTTCCTTCAGTTCTCTTCTCAGAGCCACCAGCCCCAGGCTCTCCTTACGCATATCTAGTCCACTCTGCCCTCCCTCTGCCTGAGCCCAGGGTAAGTGGCTGCAAATGAAATTTTGTGTGTTGACCCTTTAAGAGCCTCTCTGAGTCTCCAGCCATCTCTCCTTGGCAGATAGAGACCTCGCTGCTTTTCACAGCTATATGTTATTTGGGTTCCTTTCCCAGCTCTGGTGATATAGGCTGGGGAGCCCAGCTTGGGATTTAGATACTACACTGCTCAGGCAGACCCCTCAGCCATGAAAATATCTCTCCAGCATTTCAGCTGCCACCCATGGGAGCCCAGCCAGCCCTCTCACACTGCCTCCATACTCCATACCAGTCACGTTGTGGTGAAGTGGTTTCTTCTGTCTGTCTGTGGTTATGAGACTTCTCTTCAGCTAGAATTCACTTGGTTATTAAGGATGATTTCTCAATAATTTTGTTGTAATTCTAGGTCGGTCCTGGGAGGAGGTTAGTAGCTTCCACTTACTCTGCCAACTTGGGTCTCCACAATATATGTAAAAATTGCTCACATTCAAGAGGAAGTTGATAATACCAAACTTGCCCCTCCAATCTTGGAAAATATAGAGGAAGGAATTCAACTAAATAATGAATGGCACAGGCCCTGGCTGGGTAGCTCAGTTGGTTAGAGTGTTATCCCAATATGCCAAGGTTGCAGGTTCGATCCTTAGTCAGGGCACATACAAAATCAACCAATGAATACATAAATAAGTGGAACAACAAATCAATGTTTCTCATCCTCTCTCTGTTTAAAATCAATTAAAAAATAGCCTACCATTGAAATACCAAATACAGCTATATGGGGTAGAGAAATTATCATAGAACACTTTTAGAAAACCATTAGCTTTTCTTTCTTTTTTTTTTAATGATATCCAATCTTTTATTCTACAATTATTCTTTGAACTCCTAGTGTGTGTGTATTTTTTAATGTAATCTTTATTTTTTTCCCCATTACCATTTAGTCCCCTTCTTCCCCCCTACCCCCAACAATCACCACACTGTTGTCCATATCCATGAGACCTTTTTCTTTTTTTGCTCAATCCCTCCACCCCTTAACCCTCCCCCCCCACCAGTAGCTGTCATCTGCTCTCCATCTATGAGTCTGTCTCTGTTTGGCTTGTCAGTTCAATTTGTTTATTAGATTCCACATATGAGTGAAATCATATGGTATTTATCTTTCTCTGACTAGAAGCCATTAGCTTTTATTGACTCTACCTATACTTTTTATTTATAGCAAACAAGACTTCCAAAAGTAGCATTGTCATTCATAGAAGTAAACAAAAACCAGATGATAACATTTGTTGGACTATTATAATATTGTTTTAATATCTAACATTTTTTGAATATATAACATTACTATGCTAAGTCCATTGCCTGAATTATCTTTTTCCCATTTAATTTAATCAGGCAAATATATTAATTATTCCTCATTTTACAGACAAGGAGAATGAGCCTTTGAAATGTTAGATAGCGCACCCAAGGTCATGCTGTCAGGGACTACTGAGCTCTACTGCATTCCTACAAAATCCCACAAATGTAAGCAGCACAACGCTCCTAAGAGTCACTTTCCCCACATCCTAGAGAGCCTTCCTCATGTGCAGGACTGTCTGTCTCTTGTCATCCACTCCTGGAAGGCAGGTTGCTGAGCATGCAAGTGTGGTGGTTCAGATTACAATTCCAAGCCCTTGGAAAGAACTGTAAATTAAACTACAAAAGACCACTTGAATTGGAGGGATTCATATCAGATAGCCCTCCTCAAGTCCTTGAATCTAAAGCTGGAAGGGACCTTGGTGATCACCCTGCCCAACCCCTCATTTTAAAGATGAGTTAAATGAGCCCGAAGAATTATAAGCAACTTGCCCTAGTTACACTGTTGGTTAATGACAAAGGTCAACTTGGACCCCAAGGCTCCTTACTCTTATTTCTGTCATCTTTTATTTCATCACAGTGCCTTTCATCTCTCTCTGAATCAGTTTGAAAATAAAGACTTTTAAACACAGAAAACCAACTGGTACCATTTAACCCATTTCTTTTGCATTAATGCAGTGTTTCAGCTCAAGAACAATGAATATGAATCATAAAATGAGATCATTACATCACTGGTGTTTTAAAAAGTAACCATGGTTCACTTCGGCTATATTTCTGAAGTTAATAGAAGAAGTAAATTTTTAAATTGAAAATTCTGCTTTAGCAATTATCATTTTGCTCTTTCCCCGTCTAGCCTGCCTTATAGGTTAGTCATAAGACGCTTCTCTCACTGTGGGAAGTTTTGTGCTTGGATGTGCCCTGGGTGGAGCTGATATCTCTGTAGCCTCTCCTCCAGGACTCCTCTCTAGCATACGATGGCCTACTTGTTTCTCTGTCTCTCCTCCCTCCAGTATGGCACCACACTCCTCATGGTCGCCTCCTATGCTGGTCACATAGACTGTGTGAGGGAAATTGTTCTCCAAGGAGCGGACATCAATCTCCAGAGAGAGGTAGGTCAAGTTTTGCACTTGAATAAGAATGACTCAGGGGACAGAGGCTTGAAGTTCTGGCAATACTGAATTGTTAAAAAGGGCAAGAGTAATCATTGCTTTTTTCCTATATGACACTAACGCCCAGATTTCAGGCTTTATTGTGCCTAAAATAAGACGCAGGACCTGACTGTTGATTGTACTTCAGCTGAACATACTTTCTCAGGCACATGTTGCATCCTGAGATAACCAGACCTCTAACCACATTCCTTTAAACATTCAAACATTTCATCCCAAGCTTAAATCAGTTCTTCTTCCCTTGGGATGAGATGCTATAGAATTCTAGAATTTTCATAGAGATCATTATAGTTTTAGAAGCATTGTGTAACCAACCTGTTCTAAATGAGGCCCATTCCCTAAAATATCTCAACTATCCCCACCAAACCATATTTTCAAAGGACATCTCTTACTGGCTATGTATTAAATAAGCACTGCCCCCAAAATCCATGTGGTGAGCATTGGACTAAAATGTGAGTCTGTTCCTACCCTTTATTCAAGGGCAATCTTGGGAGTTCCATCTGTCCAGAGGATCCGTTCTTGGTCCAATATAGAAGAACAGTGGTGGCTAGGACATTTACCATATTTGGGGATTCAGGTCTGAGGAGGGTCCATTTATTTCCAAGACAGTATAGGGCCTGGGAAATTGACCTTACTGGAGACACATGCAGAGATCAGTCCACACTGACTCAGACTTGAACACTTGGTTTTCCGTGATCCATTCTGACTGAAAGGCCTACCCTATAGTTGTTTCAGAAAGGACAATTCATTAACCAAACTTTCATCGAGCAATACACCTTGTCTTCCAGGGTGGCCTGCCACCCTGCGTGGAGCAAATTAAGGTACACCGTACGTAAGGGCTAGATGTTCCACAGGGCATCTGGAGGTCTTCTTTTCCCCTTCGTGTTGCCTTGGCTGTGGAACATGGGAGACTGACACTTGCTGGGTAGAATCTGGAGTCTGGTTCTTGTTGCCCTGGATCAGCAAGTCTGGTCCGTTGAGCGGAGCAGTACAAAGCGACTACAGCAAATCCAACCAGTCTTCTCACAGACAGATTCTTCTGAGCAATTTCTGTAACAGTGGATCATTGTTTTAGGTCATTTTTACTTCAGCAGCTGATTTTCTTCTTGGAAGGAAATGTTTGGGCCCATCTAGAATTATGGTTTAAAATTACTCCAATCTTTTTATTTTTCCTCTCTGCTTTACAGTCTTTATTTTAACTTTAAAGAAGAGACAGATTTTTCCCTAATAAAAACAATATGATCCAGCTCTGCTTACTCAAAAACTTTATCCTTCAAGACAAGTTTAACATGCACACAAATATCTTCACAACACCTAATAAAGCTCGGAGAAGAAGAGAAGTATGTGTTTATTTCCAGCCAGTGTATGGTTGGTTCCAATTGCTCAGCTAATGTTCCTGAAGAGGTGAACTACTTATTGTACATTGAACAAAGTGGCCCTTGGAGACTTACCAAAGTGTGCCCACCCTGGAGGTAACCTGTGTGGCTCAAATGATGATCCTGTGTAAGTTTCTGGTGGTCCCCTGAGGCCATGGAAGTCTGAGACAACAGACCTGCTAAGCCAAAGAGGGGCCCCAACCTCACCTTGCATGTTTTGGAATCTGACAGGGAGTGCTTAACAGTGCTGAGGAACTCATATGTCAGACTTCTACCTTGGTTCATAAATTCCTTTCAAAATCATTAGCTTAATCACATATTTTGCCATAGAAGTAGTATTTACAAGTTCTGGGAATTAGAATGAAGACATACCTTTTGGAAGTCCACCAATTATTCTACTACACCAAGAATAAATTTTTCCTTTCATCTTTTTCACTTCTCTGGTTAAAGAATAATGATCAGGTTAAATATAACCCCTTCCTAGGCTAGAAGTTTTACAGGCAAGGATATTGTTTTGTAATGTAACCAAATGTCTTTTAAAACCAGCCTCTATCTCTCCCTCAGTCAGGTACAACTGCCCTGTTCTTCGCTGCCCAGCAAGGCCATAATGACGTTGTGAGATTTCTCTTTGAATTTGGAGCATCCACTGAATTTAGAACCAAAGTAAGAGCATTTTGTTCATTTCCTACCCTATTGAAGAAATTTAGCAATTATGAGTATCCACTTCTCTTCATCTATAATAAAAACCTGTGCTTCCTTTTTTACAAGATTTTCAAGCCTAGGAAGGTGGGTTTCACAAGGTTCCTTGTAATGGTTGAGGAGTCTTCCTAGAGATTCAGTTCAGAACACAGCATTTTTTCACTCTGGGCTTACAACTGGACAATTTTATGAGGAATTACTTAGATTCTTTTTCACAGCTTTCTACTATGGGACACCAAATTTTGTGACCAGGATGCATACAGTAGCAGGTGCTTTAAGTTTTTCCTGTTTTCAGGTGCTTTTTTCTGCCTCAAGATTAATCCCAGTGCTGTAACAGGGAGTGTTGAAGTATTAATTCAATCCTAGTGAATCTCAGAGATTCTAAGGAGGATGATTTGGCAGGTAGTTAACCTTTGGAGATGTCCTCACTGAAATATATGATATATGATTACAGCTTCTATAGGTGGGCAAGAGGAGTCATCGAGCCTTCATCTTGGGCATATGGATAAGAAAACTTAGACTGCAAGAAAGATCAACCCTGTGTTCACAGTATGATTTTAAGTGATAATATTTTGCAGTAGAAGAATTTGAGCTGCCATAACGTTTTTGTAATTGTCAACTATTTCTGGCCTAATCATAACAAAAAAATTCCTGAAAATTTGCCCCAGTGGAAACTTTTAGGTTTTCTTAATTCATTGCATTTGAGATTTCAATATCAAGGGAGTTTCCAGTGGTGTTTTTTTTTTTATTAAAATGGTAATGATTACACAGATCTGAATATCAGGTTTCTGTCTTTTCTGAAACCTGATGTTGGACTGTGTACATGCCCCAGACATGATGAATATATAAAATATGTGCGTATATTTTTATACTAATTATCATTTTATTTTTCATTCTAAAAGTGATACAGCTAAAAACAAAGTAAAGTTTTATAAACCTAATTCTCAACTCGTTGGACTACGTCAGAATGATCATGGTTAGCCATATGGCTGCTTCAGTCTCCTTGGTTAGCAAGTTAGTGCTGGCTTGCAGCCTCTGTGCATGAGCCAGTTTGCATTGTCCCAGAATCCATGGAGCACAGGGCCCCGGGTGAGCCATTCCACATGTTTCCATTAGGTCAACTGCAGGTGTCCAAGAGCTTTCCCGGGGAAGAAGAGAGTGTCGGGGAGGTTTTCAGTTTTAATACGATCCAGTCATCAAAACTGTGTGTCAACGATTGTTATCACTGTTTTTAAATTTATATCCCCCCCAAAATATGTTTTTAAAAGTAAAATTTGTCAGCTCTTCTATGACAGTCATCACATTTAATCTGCTCTCCAAACTCTTTAGGCAAAGAGCTGAGGAAATTGACAGAACAAAACTTGGAAACATGGGTACTCGTGGCTGCTATTGAGCAGTTTTTGATGCACACCCACCCCTCCCACACCCCCCCACCACCTGAGCCTTTCAGTCTCTCTCCTCCATTCCTCACCCTTCAAAACTCAGCTCCCCCCACCACTCAGCCACACGCATTCCCCAGGATCTCACCTGCCTGTGAAGGAAGGAGCTCTTAGAGCAGTGTTTCTTGAAGTGAGGTCCACCTGCCCCTGCTCACCACAGTCACCTGGCATGACTGGTCAAAAGGCCTATTTCTGGGCCTCACCCCAGACCTGCTGAATCTGAGGATAGGGCTCTGAGGGGTTGGCATTTTGAATAAACACTCTATGCCCATATTTAAAAACCAAACTATATCCTATTTATGGTTTGTATTTTAGAACCAGATTACATGTTCTCACATTACTTATAATTAGCTCAAATGTCCACATACCAATTCACAACAATCAAACAAACAACAATCCTAGTTGGGGAAAGATAATGCATTAGCTTCAGCACCTGAGAAAAACCATTAAGGGTTTCAGTTGACCACAAACTCAATGAGTCAGTAGTGTGATGTGGTCGACATGAAAGCTAATTCTAATTTGGGCTGCAGAAATAAAAGTAGAGTAGATGGAAGAAAGGAATGTCCCACTCCACATCAGACCACATCCACTTTACAGTGCTCTGTTTAGTTCCAGGGCCCATGTTTTAAAAGAGACCTGGACAGATTGGCACATGTTCAAAGGAAAATACTAAGTAGTATCGTTAAGAGGCACATGGAATATGCTGTAATTATCCATTCTTTTAATGGATGCAGATCTTGTTTCATGAAGGCAATGGCCCCTGAGGGTTACTCTATAAAAGCACCTTAATCTCAGAGTCCCACCACTGGGCGGAACCACAGGGAGACACCAGTGTTTGTCAAGAGGGTCTCTGGCCAGAATCCAAGGAGGCTATTCTGTCAATTCCAACAGACCTGACTGGTACAGACATTCTGTTCTTTGTTTCCTTTATTGAGGGGCAAATAGATGAGTCTGCATTTGATATGGGAAATTTCTATTTTTTTCAATTGCAGTTAGCATACAATATACATTAGTTTTATGTATACAACATAGTGATCAAATATAACTTAGAAAGTGATCTCTTTGCTAAATCTAGTAGACATTTCTAAATTAATTATAATAACTTAGTCAAACAACTGCAATAGATCTCAAGCAAGTCATCCAAGTTTACAAATAATGGAGTCCTTAAGATGAGCTGTCATGATTATAAAGAAAACGTAAAAGGGGCAAAAGAGGAAATGTCAGTTCGGTATTGTCTATGGAAGATTCTTTTCCAAAGTTCTGTCTATATGAAGAGCATCTCTTTGGTAGGACGTGTGCCTGCACTGTTTCTAACATGTCTATACTTTGCATGCCCGTAGGATGGGGGCACTGCCCTGTTGGCCGCCAGTCAGTATGGGCACATGCAAGTGGTGGACACCTTGCTGAAGCACGGAGCCAACATCCACGACCAGCTCTATGTGAGTGTGTTTCAGGGGAACCTTTCTTGTTCCCTCATCACACGTACCATTGCAGTCTAAGTTTGGATGCCAGAAGTGCCAGTTTCAAAAATATTTTAATGAACAACAGGACTTTAATCTGAGACCTGGAGGAAAAAAAATATATAGTTAACCAGATGATTTTTTTTCTTTGTAGAAACTACATAATCTTACTTACCCTTCTTTATTGTGCCCTTTTAAATCTCTTACACATGAAATATGTCATGTACCTGTGCAGTTAGGGTCTTCAGAAATCATGTAATACACACTCATTTATAACATGACAAGCCCAGCGTATGGACATGCTGAAAATCAAAATAAATGCTGTTGTGGGTTTATTTGGGTGGAAGAGCACACCAAAGGAGAAATCAGGTTATTTGGAAGAGAAGTGAGTGTGGGTGGGTGAAGACCTGTGAAATACATGCACACTATTGCCCTCTGAAAGGCGTCCACTGCTAGTGTGGGTCTGTTTGCAGCTGATCGGCAATTAGCACATTACCCAAGCACTCTTTCAATTGATTGTCACTGTAATTCTATAGGATTTATGGCACATTTGATTCCCGTTTTATAGGAAGAAAATAAAATATGGGGAGATGAAGTGACTTGAATATCACAGAGAGGAGTGGGAGAATTGCGCAGGAACCATATTTCAGGCTATCCTACCTCCAGGCTATCCTCTTGACAGCCCTATGCCTAGGCCACTAGGTGCTTTCATAGACATGTACTGAGATGTGTAGGTGTGAACTTTTCCATTTGAATAGCTTTCCAGCACTTACACAGTTAATTCTGACAAATCACAGACTTCTTTGAAGTACATGGCAACTAGCCTTACCTTTTGTACTTCAAACTCTGTAAAACTCTCAGCCTGCAGCATTCCCAGTTGAATGACTGAAGTACTTGATAATGGTCTAAAGGAGTCATTTTCAACTCTAGCAGCCCATTAGAATCACCTAGAAAACTTTAAAAAACACCACTTCCCAGCACCCCCAACCCCAGACTCAGAGTCTCTAAGGGCACAGCTTGAGCAACAGGTAGTTCTGACATGTGGGCAAAGCTAAGAAATACAGGTCTACAGCCATTTCTTTGGCTGTATATAGGTGCAGTATATCTGAGAGTGTGTGTGAGCAAATGTAGGTGTAGGCTGACTAGGAAGAGCCCAAGTCTTTGGGAAAAGAAAATGAGTTGTAATGTTGTGATTTTCATAGCTTTAACAGTCAGCAGTCCAAATTGATGGTGGGCACAGAATCAGTACTGTTTGATAATATCCTACCGTAAGGTTCATCAGGGTGGCACATAATCAGAAATGTAGAGTTTGGGGAGAGCGCATTTCCTTTGTAAATTCATCTCTACTGTAAGGTGACTCAAGAAATTTCATGTACCCGAACTTACATTTTCTCTTTTTTTGTAATTAATTTTTTATTATTGTAAAGAAACTTATGTATAGTTTTATTTTTTAAGATTTTATTTATTTATTTTTAGAGGAAGGGAAAGAGAAAGAGAGGGACAGAAACATCAATGTGTGGTTGTGTCTCACACTGTGGACCTGGCCCGTAAGTCAGGCAGGTGCCCTAGACTTGGAATAGAACCAGCTACCCTTTGGTTCCCAGGTTGGTGCACAATACACTGAGCCACACTAGCCAGGGCAGAACTTACATTTTCTATTAAGACTTTTACCCTTATCGAAAGAGTCCAGTATAAATGTTTTCATGAAAAACAATTGATATATGGGGAATCCCTGTCATTGTTCCCTGAAAACTTCTAGAAACAGAAGTTTATAATACACAGTAAAAAAATCCAATGCATAGATAACCACTTTAGAAACTTCCAAAGAGTTGTGAGCTGCTAAGCTCGTGAAAGACTTTCTCTGACAACACAGTAAGGAGCAGCTGAAATTTTTCATTCTCATACCAAACACCTGTTTAAAACTCTGTACAGGCTAATTAATTTTTTAATGATTGCCTTGAGGGGAGTCTGGCAGCTCAGCTAACTCCCACTGGAAATCGAGCACCCTCCACATGGTTGGGCTTGCAGGGAAAGGTGCTTTGTATTTTAACTTGTGGTAAGAGTTCCTGATGAGAGGGTAGTAATTAGCTGGGATGTGCTCGGGTGTTCCACTGCGGTCTAAAAGTAACGAAGCTCACCGTGTTCTGTCTATGTGAAGTGGGCAGCGGAAGCGGGGATGCATGCCCTGAACTGACCCATGTATTGTCAAAACTACCCAATGACACACCTTCAAGGAAAAAGAAATGACCAGAAGACATAGACACCCAGTTAAAAAGAAAACTAAAGAAAATTGGAAGCAAGCACTTGCTTTTGCTTTTATGCAAGATTGCTTAGTTGCTCATATAAGCGTTATGGGCGTCTGCTGGGCCAGCACAGAGCAAGTTCATGGATATTCTTGAACTTGGCAGTTATTTTCAGTGTCTTATGCTTTAAAGCTGGAGAAACTGCACATTGGGGAAACATGAATAAGGGGGCAAGAATGAGAAAGGAGTAGGAAAGATCTAACTAAAAGGATACTCTTCACTCCCAAACCATAAAAGCACATGAAATAGATTTGGGGAATTTGTCTGTTTTGTTTTATATTAATAGACTTTATTTTCTTCCATTTTTTAAAAAAAATTGTAAAGATTATGCTATCACAGTTGTCCTGATTTTTCCTCCTTTGCCCCTCTTCCACCCAGCATCCCCCACTCCCTCAGGCAAACCGCACACCTTTGTTCAGGTCCATGGGTCATGCACATGAGTTCTTCCGGCTATTCCATTCCCGATAGTGAACTTTACATCCCAAAGGCTATCCTGTAACTACCTATTTGTACTTCTTAATCCCCTCACCTCTTCACCCATTCCCTGACACCTCCCTCCCATCTGGCAACCAACAAAACACTCTGTTTCCACGATTCTGTCTCTGTTCTTGTTTGTTTAGTTTGTTTTTTAGATTAAATCGTTGATAGCTTTATATTTTTTGCCATTATATCATTCATAGTTTTGGTTTTTGTAAGTAAGTCCCTTTAACATTTCATACAATAATGGTTTGATGATGCAGAACTCCTTTAGTTTTTTTGTGTCTGGGAAGCTCTTTATCTGTCCTTCAGTTCCAAAAGATATCTTTGCTGGGTTGAGTAATCTTGGCTATACATCCCTACTTTTCATGGCTTTGAATATTTCTTGCCAATCCCTTACAGACTGCAAAGTTTCTTTTGAGCAGGCAGTTTTATGGGAACTACCTTGTAGGTAAGTAGCTTTTTTTCTCTTGCTGCTTATAAGATCCTCTCTTTATCTTTAACCTTTGGCATTTTAATTATGATTAAGAGGAGTGGGCCTCTTAGCATCCATCTTCTTTGGGACTCTCTGTGCTTCCTGGGCTTGCATGTCTATTTCCTTCATGAAATTAGGGAAGTTTTCTTCCATTATTTTTTCAAATAGATTTCCAATTTTTTGCCTTCTGGCGCCCCTATGATGCGAATGCTGGACTTACTGAAGTTGTCCCAGAGGCTGCTTATACTATCCTCATTTTTTTTAATTCTTTTTTTCTTCTTCTTGTTCTGATTGGTTGTTTTTTGCTTTCTTATGTCCAAATCATTGATTTGAATCTCAGCTTCATCCACTCTACTGTTGTTTCCCTATAAATTGTTCTTTGTTTTAATTAATGTATCCTTCATTTCTGACTGGATCTTTTTTATGCTGTCGAGGTCCTCACTAAGTTCCTTGAGCCTCCTTATAACCAGTGTTTTGAATTCTGCATCTGACAGATTGCTTATCTCCATTTCATTTAACTCTTTTTCTGGAATTCTGATCTGTTCTTTCATTTGGGCCATGTTTCTTTGTTTTCTTGTTTTGGCAGCCTCCCTGTGTTTGTTTCTACGTATTAGGTTGAGCTGCTTTGACTCCCTGTCTTTGTAGTGTGGCCTAATATAATAAGTGTCCTGTAAGGTCCAGTGGCACAGCCTCCCATTTCATCCAAGCTGGGTAATTTGTGCATGCTGAGTACACTCTCCTCTTGTAGCTGAGCCTTGGTTGCTGTTGACAGATCAATGGGAAGGATTTACTCAGGTTAGTCAGTTACAAGGACTGGTTGTGACCACTGACCACTGACCAGTAACCTCCCCACTCTGTGGAGGATCAGCTGTGTAGGGACAGGGTGGTGGCACTCCAACATGGTATATAGCTGTCCACTGGGTATGCTGGCCCTGGAGTTTCCCAGGTGGTGCTGGCCAAGGTCATCCCCCACCTGTGTTGTGCTTGGGGCCACCCTTTATGAGCTATAAAGTGATCTGTGATGGCTGCTACTTGTGCTGGGCTTGTAGATTCCCAGGCAAGCCAAGCTGTGAATCAGTGGTGTGCCTGGGGCTCACCAAGGCCAGCTGTTGCATTTTTGATAAGATTTAGGAAGTTGTGAGACATGAGCCAAGACCAGCCATCCATATGGAAAAGCAGCTTGGGTGGGCTTGTAAGTTGGGTGGGGCAGAGTCTCTGGGGGTCTCCACGGTGAGTCACAAAGTATTAGCCAGGCTAATGGAGTCTCAGAATAGCACCAGTTTGTCAGCTTTGTGAGCAGAGGGTTTAGAAAATGGACAATGGCCTCTGCTTTCCTTGATGGCAGATAACGTCAGTTTCTCCCTGTATGCCATTGATACCTTTCAAGCAGCTACCTGGTGCCAGAGCTCAGAGGGAGTGAGTCTGAGTAGATGAGCCCATGTGTGGGTTCTTTAAGAGGAACTGCTTGGGGTTCCTGCAGTTCCTTCCATTGACTCAATCTCTACTGGTTTTTGCAGCTAGAAGTTGTGGGGACTTTTCTTCTTGGCACTGGACCTGGGCTGTGGGACCTGGTGTGGGCCTGGCAGTCCTCACTCCCAAGATATCCCTCCCAAATTTTTATCCACCAAAAGTGGGTATGTGACTAGCCTGTTCCATATCTGCACCCCTCCTACCAGTCTGGGTGGATGTGGTTTCTTTAATTTCATAGTTGCCAAATTCCAATCAACTTGATTTCTGACAGTGCTGAGTGATGGTTGTTCTATATTTTACTTGTAATTTTGTTGTGACTGTGCAAAGAGGGGAGCCATGTCTGCCTACACCACCATCTTAACCAGAGTTCTAGACTACTTCTTGTTTGCTTTTTAACTAAGGCTTTGCTTTAAACTAAGAGAAGGGTTGGAAACTTGTATTAAATGTATGTATTTTTAAATCTAATTAAAATGTGGATCGACTTAGATTATGCAACAAAAGCAGAAAGCAGCCAATGAGAAATCTATACAGATAAGAGAAAAATGGTGACTGGATGTTTGGAAAACCTAGAAGCTACTACCAAGTAGATGTATCATAATCTCTAGGATCAAGATTTTGTGAATTCATTATATACATTATAACATCCTTATACGACTATCTATTTTAAACTTTACCTTTCAATCTGACTTCATGTGATCTTTTAGAATCATTCCTTAAAAAACAAAACATTAACAATGCATATGAAAAAGGGAGGAGGAAATGAAAAATTGTGTTAAATATATGTATTTTAACAGGTAATTTCTTTCTTTCAAAATAAACGTGAAAGGTGATTTTTTTTAACACTTTCACTTTGCCATTTCTCAGGACGGAGCTACAGCACTCTTCCTAGCTGCCCAAGGTGGTTACTTGGACGTTACTCGATTACTGTTGTCTTCAGGAGCAAAAGTCAACCAGCCAAGGCAGGTAATGTGCATGCGCACGGAGCAGTGGGCAGGGAGGGCCGGCTCCCCTGCAGCAGTGCTCACCTAGGCAACCACTCAGCTCTGAATGTCTTTAAATCCTTTTGCTTCTGTGACACAGGTTAATCTTTGATTGGGGTTTCTTCTGTTCTTTGCTTTGGGCTTACCTGAAATCAGGCTGACATCACCATTTACTATTTTTAAAACTTGGGTGTTTGGTGTCTGAGGTCAAGTATACACTCTGCCACCTCCTGTTCAAATAAATTATGGGGGCACTGTGGGAATGAGAGGAGGCTAGCCTGGGACATAGGTAAATAGAGGAGCGTCAGGTAGCCTTGCCCCAGCCCAGTCCCTCCACTGATAGGCTGCCTTATCTCTTACCCCCACTCCTTTCACCAAGCCAACGAGGAGGCCATTGCAGTCATTAGTAGGTTCCACACCTTCATCTCTCACAATTATAATGCTATTAAGACTTCATTTAGCAACATCTGGTAAATCAGTTAATTGATACTTAGAGGAACAGAACTGCAAGATAATATAGCATCGCTTTAGAAATGGTGAAAAACCATCCAAATACAAGGCATTATAATTAGCTCCTCTTACATAGGAACTATTTCTTCACTAATTAATTTGTTTTTAAGAGAACATTTCAGGTTAAGGTAGCTTTATTTTAAAGGTAGTTTTCTAGGGAAAAGTCAAGCTGATTTCTTACCAGTAGAGAACATCCAGGCAGGTTCCCACTGTAACATGACCTGCTTTGACAATGCCTTTATGTTCATGTAATGAATAGCTACAGAAATCTTAAGGTTGATCAAGGTTCTTGATCACAGGTTTTTTTCAGCCTTAACAAGTCCAGGTGTATAAGGAACGTAAGAAAAGAACGAGCCATTGGGCAAAGTGGGTTTGAGATCAGGAACCCTGAGTTCCAGATTCAGCTCTGCCAGTAACCAACTGTGTGGTTTTGAACAGATGAATCACCCTCTCTGGACCTCTCTTCCTTCACCTGAAATTCAGGAGGCTGGGCAGGATGATCCTGATGATCTCTTCAAGCTCCCAAGTTTTTGATAATTGTTTTATTTAACGTTTCATCAGTATTTCTAGAGAACTTAACATGTGTCCAACACTGTTGTGAATGTAAAGATTATATTTTTAGCATTTTAAAGATATTCTTAGGTTTAGATAGCCCAGGAATATTTCTGGGACAGGAGACTTTCAGAAAAGTTCCTGCCAGGGTTGACATTTGGGGATTGGAACTTAGTATTTCTTCTTGGTCCTTCTTATTTTGAAATTGTTGATTGATTCTTAATTGAAGGCCTCATTTTACTAAATAAAAAGAATTGGTTATATTTAGATTGCATAAGTTTGATTTGGAGGTCATTATTGAGGGTGCCACTGTGAATTTAGAAATGAGAAATTATCAAGCCAGGTTCTCTCTCTCCCTCTCTGTTCATCCTTCTAAAATAATTTCTGGTATTTTGTCAACTCTCTGTGTAAAATACATTGTATTATTCATATGCCTAAAGTACTGTTTGTAAAAACCATGTTGATAAAAGGTTATATTTCAAAGGTTGCCTGGATTGTGCCCATTTAAACCTAAATTGAGTCATGTGATGATGACACTGAAACCCAGAAGTTGCACGTGAACCAGCATTGTAATGGGAGCCGCAGCCTTTTCAGTCCTCAGAAGTGAGGATGACCTGGTCAGAGGGCATGGCCTAGCCTAGGAGTGGGAGGGCTCTGCCCTCAGGTCAAGGAGCACGCGACATGCTTTCCAAAGACTGTGTCTAATGTGATTGCTCAGAATTTTGAGAGCCCAGCTCTGAAAAAATTGTTATTAGAAACAGGGTGTTTTATAGCATAAAAATTACTTGGGGCGCGGGGTGGGAGCAGGAGTGATAGAATTTTTCCTTTTCATGGTGTATGCTAACCCCTCTATACTCTCTGTACCCTACAGGTAACCACTGTGCCTGTAAAAGCCATGATCTTTTCATTACCTGCTGGGAGCTTATAAATAAAAGGTTCTCTAGCTAGATCAGCCTAGTCTAAGTTCTCTCTTCTCTCAGAGAGTAAACTCTGCATATTTAATTCCATTCCAAGAAAGCAAGTAGTGTCATAAATATGGCAAAAATGATGTCAATCCTGGCTGACTTTGTCACAAGTTATGAGGAAGTTAAAAAAAGTATAATTAAAAATTTCCATTAAAATATCTTGAACGCCCTAGCCAAGTAGCTCAGTTGGTTATAGTGTCTTCCCTATACACCAAGGTTGCAGGTTCAATCTCTGGTCAGGGCACATACAAGATTCAACCAGTGAGTGCATAAATAAGTGGAACAACAAATTGATGTTTCTCACTCTCTTTTTACCTCCCTCCCTCCTTCCCTTCCTCTTTGTCTCTCTAAAAATAAATTTTAAAAAATTAAAATGCCCAGCACATGGTAGAATATTATATAGCTAGGGCATTTGGAAACCAATGTTTTATTCTGAAATCTCAGCTGACCCATTGTGAAAAAATTCTTGAATTTACAAAATAAGAGCAAAGATATTTGCCTGGTTTAATCTCTTTATATTTTTAGATAAATCTGATTTATAATTTTTGCATTGCCATCCTATGGAGTTCTGACATTTTAGGGCACATTGTGACAGGATATTAACAAAGTTGCAATGAAATTATTCAGCTGACATTTGATCTGAACTGCTGGGAATCTGAGCAGTAGTAAGAATGACTTTTCTTTGTAACCAGATCACTGACACACTAACAGAAAACCTGTTTAGTATTTTTGTGACAATTACAAAGCTAGCCATAGGCAAATTTTGGAAAAACTATGTTTTTGATTTGAAACTTGAAAAATTTTTCCTTCTAAGTTGGTTTTTTTTTTAAAGATTTTATTTATTTATTTATTTATTTATTTTCAAATACATTTGTCTCTGCCTTCCCCCCCACCACTTTCCCTTAGTTATTTCCCTTATTTATTTATTTTTAGAGAAGGGGGAAGAGAGTGAGAAAGAGAGGGGGAGAAACATCGATGTGAAAGAGAAACCTCAGTTGGCTGGCTGCCTTCTGGTGCATGCCCTGACCTGAGACTGAAACCACTTCACCAGACAACGCCCAACCAACTGAGCCACACCAGCCAGGGCTAGGCTGGTTTAGATAAAGAGTTTAGGAGTCACAGAGATCATTCAGATCTATAGTCAATTGAGAAACTCATGTTCGATTCTTTTTATGTGTCTTCACCAAGTAGAGTTGATATCTACATAAGTCAAATCTACATTTTTTAAGGATGAAAGGTGTAATTTTCTATACAAAACCAGCATTTTTCACAGAAAAAAATTATTGAAATATTTCTCAAAGAATGATGTTAGTTCAAGTTCAGCATTTGACCCAATATGGTTTTCTTGAAAGTTGCATGTGGAGTCAAACATTTCCAAGAGGAAGCAGAAGTAGGATGCTGGGAACACCCTTAAAGGCCATTACATTTCAGATATAAAAGCTATTTACTTATTCTTTAACAGACTTCATTATCATTGTTTCTTATATTGAGCCAAAATCTCCCTGTGGTTTTCACCCATCAGTCTTCTTTTTACTTAGTATGCAAAAGAAGTCCAACCCATTTTCACTTGTTCTGCCCACAAAGAGTAAATGACAGTTCTCATAACTCCATGAATCTTACCTTTCTAAGCTAAATGTTTTCTTTTCTTTTTGTTAAAAAGCAGTTCTGTAGAGGTTATAACTTCCACTTCATGGTGATTTAGTCAGTTTAATATACTTTAAAATTATATATTTTTGTCAAGAAGTATTCAAAAACTTACATATTTTAAATGTTTTTTTCTATTCCAATTCTCTCCAAAACTCTACAAAAAAGAAGCTAAAGTGACCTAATTTCCATCATTTTCATTATGAAGTCATCTTCACAATGAAGATTCTGACCATTATAATATAAGGAAAAAATAAGAGAAAACAGAACTTGAGGTATACAGAAGAGGAAAACCTCTTTTATTCATAAACTAGATAACCAAATTATAAGTGATTTGATTTGACAACAATGCTCTAACTCACATTCAACTCCCTGGGTTCAAAAACCAGATTTGGAGAAATAATTGCCAGTAATGAAATACACAGGTGTCCCCCAAATCTCATTTGACTAGTTCTTCCTGCCTGCTAATCAGTTATCTCATGGGAAAGCAGGAGAATCAAATTCAATAAAGCATATGGAAATGCTTTATAAATGAAAGTACAAATTAAGGTACTTACTGTTTTTCATGATAAATAATATTCAGATTCAGTGACCATTTTCTAAGTATCTGTTGGCCTGTACTTGTGCTCGGCACCTTGCTGCATGTGTCCTCATTCACGAACATCTCTGTAAGGCTGATATTATTGTGGAAGCGGACACTGAGACAGAGTAATTTGCCTAAGGTCTCAACCAGGAAACGGTGACATTTTTTTCCACTTACCAGGACTATTGTAATTAAGGTGATAATTGTGTGTTAGCATTACTGTTATGATATTAATAGTTGTTCCCAATATAGCACCTCTCGGCACTTTTCTACATATTAATGTCAGTTAATAGACGTTTACTAAAAACAAGCCCTTAGAAAGCAGCAAACAGGCCCTGACAGCCTTTCCTTGGCTGCCCTCTGGTGGCGATATCAATGAAGAACAAATGAACCCAGGGCAGATAAGAAGGGAGAAGCGTATCAGTACCTGAGCCCTAGAAAAACCTTCGCGCAGCCCAGACACCCTCTCCTGCCTGCCGGGGCCCCACCCACACCCCTTGGGTCATGCCGACCGGATTCCTCACCCTGCCCATACCAGCCATGGCTGTCCAAGGCACTGTGACTGTAAATGTTCTTCCATCTACGTGGAATTCCCTTTCCCTTCTCTCCCCCCTGGCAAAATCCTAGTCCTCCTTCAAGATTCAGCTCAGATACCGGCACCCCCTTTAAATCCCACTCAGTAAGTGGGCCCCTTTCCTGGGTCATCCGGGGCATTTTTGTCCATACTTGATTGTAGCACTGCAATCGTACTGAAATGTCCATATTTCTTCTCCATTAGACTTAGTTCCTTTGATAAAAGGGTCATGTCTTGTTTTTAGTGCTCTGCCTGAGACTAAGAAGATGATTAATAACTGTTGGGTGGTTGAATGAATGGATGGTTCTCCCAAATTGGGAGAAGCCAGTTAAGTAATGAATGGAGAAGTGCTTTGTAAACTAAAAGTACAAATTAAGGATGTACTTACATTGCTAATGACAAATAATATTCAGGTTGAAGGCTGTTTCTCAGAGGTCCTTGTACAAGGGTGAAGTAGGCCAAGGGTGTTTCCAGACCTTCTCCCTGCCTTGTTTCAGCCTCTCTTCCCCATATCTCTCCAAAGACACAGAAGTACCACTGTCCTCCTCCTGTGTCCCCCATGCTTGCAGATCCTTCTAGGCTCCTGATTTGCCATCATCCAGCACCCTGCTCAAACATCTTTGTCCTCTGTCCCTCTGCCAGGACAGCAATAGACAGTAACCCCATGCCTGCTGTGACTAGTACACTGGAGGTGAAATTGCACATTCCAGCAAAAAAAGAAAGAAAGAAAGAAAGAAACTTTATATCCTACAACTGGATCATCTTGTTCTTCAGCTCCTATTCCCCCTGATGAGTCAGTCAGTCTTATATAACTAAGACAACCTCTTTGGGCCATCTTATCTTAATTACCCCAGAGGTTAAGTTTATTCAGTTCTGGATCCTCCTCCTTCCTCTTGACCTTCTCCCCAAAGTGCTCTAAGTTCTCACAGGTCACCTGTCACCTGTCATTGGGGTAGGGGCAGTGATGCTCGTGTTTTGTGCTGGCTTGTCCAGCCTCTGGTCCCATGGAGACACAGCTGGTCCCACCATGCAGTGGCCCTGCCATCATCTCTGTTGGTGAAACCAAGACATTCTGTGGTCTTACCTTCCCAGCTCCAGGCATACTGTAGGGCACTGTTTACCTAGCCCTTCCGATTTCCCACAGGCCAGCAGGGACTCCTGGGCGCCCCGCTGCCCAGCGGATATGGACTAGGGGAACTGGGACCCAGACAACTCCCACAGTCATTCCTCTCTCCCCAGCACCAGCCAAAATGCAGTTTCTGTCAGGGACTTGCAGTTTTCCTGGGTTCTATCCCAAGAACAGGAGAAGACCCTTCCCCATCTCAAACTCAGTCATTTACCTGGGTGTGTCTACCACCCCGAGCCTACCCAACCCAGATTCGCCCCCTGAGCGCAGGGGAGGAACACGTGGACCCTCCCAGACCTCAGCCCCTCTACCCTCCCTCTTTGGCGCGTCCTACGGGCAGAGAAGGGTTTCCTACTTTCCTTTCGGTCCGGCAGGAACCACCCTACTGTCAAAGCTTTCTCTGTCCCTTGGGTCTTTTGCCTTTTCTCCTCGGAGTAGTACCGCTCAGCCTCCTGGTCTGGAGTTCACTGGAAGAGGGTCGTTGGGGGAATAACACACAGGAAGTACAACTCCAAATGTTGTCCCGCTATAACTACCTACTGTGAGGCACCTCCCAGAAGCCACCGTACCCTAAAAATGATGTGGCCTGGCGGGTCCGGGACAGGAGGATGGAGGAGTGGGAGGAGTGCCTTTCTCGGACCCTCAGAGCCCACCTCGCTCTTCTGTGGGACTGAAGGGCCCCCGCGGAGCCCTGAGGGCGACCGACTCAGGCGAAATAAAGACAGGCTGCCTTTTCCTACCAGGTTCCTCAGACGAAGCTCTGCCACTCTGTGGTAACAGATCATGCTCTAACATGGCTATTTTAGCAGCCGAAAGCGAGCCTGGGCAGTCACTCAAGCAGCGCAGGCACTGCCAAATGCCGGCCTGTGTGACGGGGTCGAAGTCGCCGCCTCATCTGTCCGCGGGGAGTTCTTCCCCGGTGTTAACTTGCTGCTGTGTGGCTGCTGTGGGGTCTGCCGGGGTCCCAGGTGTGCTCTCGCTGCAGGACGGGACTGCGCCGCTCTGGATCGCGTCTCAGATGGGCCACAGCGACGTGGTGAGGGTGATGCTGCTCCGCGGAGCCGAGCGCGACGCCGCCCGCAACGTGAGTCTGGGCGAAAGCGGCGCAGCCCGGGGGCTGGGGGCGAAAACACGGGCGCTGAGGCTCCGAAAGTGAGCTCAGTCTAGCCGTGCAGAGACAACGCGGCTTTCTTCGACCTGTACCTCAGCTGGGTTTTCTCCCAACCTCCACCTGCTCTTTAGTGAGAAACACAGGAAAACGTTCGAATCCGTTGAAACTTAGCAAGTGCTGCTCAGTCTCTCTAAGGAAAAAAGCTGTGTGATTCCTCGGACATGCTGGTCCCCCTGAGCAGACTTCCTGATGTGCTGGGAGATGGGGGACACAGGAGCCTGGGCCTGGGGCTGTCCTGGGGGGCGGGGTGGGGGGCGGGGATGTCTCTGGCGGCTGCGTGTCTCTACCACTGCGCCTCCTGCTGGTGCTGGGCCGCAGAGCACCTGGTACAGCGTGGAGATTATCTGTGGTTTGGGGTCCCGCCTCTCCTGGCTCCCCCAGTTACAGACGCCTGATCCACACCCCAACCCCCCCCCCCCCCCGCCGGCCCACATTTAACCTCTGCTGGTGTCACCTAACTCTGCCTCCGTGTGCCCCACACACCGCAGGCCCGTGCCCCATAGGAGCTAAGGGCGACCTGCTCCTCGCTTTCTCTCTCTCTTTCTCTCTCTCTCTCTCTCTCTCTCTCTCTCTCTCTCTCTCTCTCCCTCCCCCCCCCTCCCTCGACTTTTGTCCTTGGTACTGCTCCTACTTCTGTGACCCATCTTCCCTTTCCAAGTCAGAGCCGAAAAAGAGAAAATGAGAAGGCGCTTTCCTGACCACTTCATCTCCCCTCTCCCACTCTCTCTTTCTTCTTCCCACAGACTCTAAAGGCCAGAAAAGTCCTCTTCTCTCCTTCTGCCTGCTGCCAGCTAAACCTTTGGCGCTGGCCGGGCGGGGTCTTTCCTTACACAGGAGGACTCTGTGAGCTGTGAGCTGTAGCCTCCAAATGCAGCAATTGCTATGTTAAAGTGGGAGAAAAAAGAATTTGGAAAATCTCTTCTCAGGCCAAAAAGTGATGACAGATGTGGAATGTTAATGTTTGAACATGTTTTTGCATTATTTTAAAACAGATTTCAATTTATCCTCTTCCTCTTCTGCTCCCCCTCCCGACAGGCAAATAGATACGAGAGCAGATTAGAGCAAAGTTACATACAACAGAAGACAAAATGGAAAGTACATTTAAAATTTTAGAACAGTCAGTACAGTTCAAGAATTCTTTAAATCATTGAAAACAGTTCAACAATTAATTTCTGCTAAGTCATGAATGCAGAAAATGCCTCTTTAGTCTATCTATGTCCTAAAAACATGCTCTTTAGATTACCCTTGTCCCTTACCCACTATTCTAAGTGACTGGAAGAGTATGAATTCCCAAGTGGCAGGGTCCTAAGATAATATAAGAAGTCACCTATTTTGCATGGTACTCTTTTACACAGAATTAACTGTTTAATGTGCTCTAAAATGCTCCTAGATTAAGAGGCACTGCAAGTCTGCATATTCCTAGTTCTCAACTCAGTTTAGTTCTCAGGCAATGCACACACATATGTTAATGGTCAACTTTTGTTTTCCTCTGTCTGCCAAGGATGGTACAACAGCATTACTGAAAGCAGCCAACAAAGGGTATAACGATGTTATAGAGGAGCTGCTGAAATTCTCACCTACCCTTGGTATTTTGAAGGTAAGAGCTAAAGTGAACGTTTGACAATCTATAAAAGAAAGAGGTTAGAAATCGAGAGGTCTATACTTGGGACTGCAGTAGAATCTGGGTGTAATTCACATGGTTAGTTGTATTCTTGAAAGAACATACCTATGACTTCTTAATGTTGGAGATTTGTAGGGACTGGTAGAAAGGAGAAGGTGGTAAAAAGAATGAACCAGAGTATGTCAGTACCTAGTTTTTCAGAAAACAATATTAGACATTAGTAATGAAATCGCTACATTTGAAAATCAACCATATGAGTATGTCATTGGAGGATTTGTTTTAGGATTTGAGGAACCCAGAAACCCTAAAACACATGTTCTCTGTCCCACAAAACATGGGGGACTCATGTTCATGTTCATTCTCTTCATCATCTGGAGCAGAGAGCCATACTGTTGCCTTAGGTGAAATAAAATAGACTGCAACACCTGGGCCCCTCAAAGAATATGTCATTCTGGGGAGCTGGGTCTTCCAGAAAACAGAGCCCCAAAACTCTTTTTTAAGTTTTAATCATTTGGGATTAAAATATTTCTAAACTACAGTATATACCAGGGTTGGCAATCTTTTTCAATAAAGGGTCAGGTAGCAAATACTTCAGGCTTTGCAGGCCATACAGCCTTTGCTGCACCTGCTCAACAAACTGCTATTGTAGCACAAAATCAAGCATAGAAAAATGTTTTTTTAAAAAAAAAACAGTTTGGCTGCATTCCAATGAAACCTTATTTATGGACATTGTGTTTCTAGAGTATAATATTGACACATTATAAAATATTTGTCTTCATTTAATTTTTTAAAATCCTTAGCTTGCCCGGCATAGAAAAGCAGGCAGCAGATTAGATTTGGCCCATGGGCCATAGTTTGCTGACCCCTGGTATACACTCTTTTGTTTTCTTAAGTAGAGGATACCAAGCCTGTCCTAAACTTGTGACAGTGGCTTTGCTAACACCTCCTGAGCCACACCCTCAGGGTTTATTGATGTGTATAAAGTCTACTTGCCCGTGAGTGACCCCAGAGGCATTGTGGACATTCCGATTCTGATCTTTAGGTCTGTAGGCTCCGTTCTTGGTGTCGGCTGCTACGGAGCTGCTGTTGTCAGTGTGCTGCCTCCTCTCCCCTGTCGCAGTGGCTACCTCTAATCTTCCATCAGCTTGGAAGCCAGAAGCTGCCCTTGTTAATAATGTTTGTAAAGTAAGAATAGTCTTTGAAAGTGAACTTCCTATAAATAAAAGAAATGAGCTTCAGAAATGGATTTTACAATATCTAGTCTCGTTTCAAACAGCTCTTTTTGGCTTGGTTTTGATTTTTGGCCATATTGCACATAGCTGCAATTGATAGGTTGGTTAAGATTTATATACATGAAATGTTATCAGATTAGTGAACTGCCATACATATTATAAAAGCAAACATGGAAAAGTGCTATCTTGCTGGAACATTTCCCTGGGCATATTTTGCTCTTTTACAAAATAAGAAAGTAGTTTTTTATTATAATTAGTTAGTCTGGAAACTAAGCCTTCATTTAGGTACTATACACAGATGTATGCATCTTCTAGAACAGATGTTATACAACTGTTGTTCTGTATTAGGTTTGTGATCTGCTCTTCTCTCCCCTTCCAGAATCGCCTACATGGCTGCCCTCAGGCACTTCCTTATTTCAGTAAATATTTGTAGTAAATTTCATGAAATGTCAGCAATCTTTCCACTAGGCCCTTCTGTGCTGAGAAATGCTCCAACTCAGGGCTCAGAGAGCTTCCCTCACCCCACACTCTCTCACTCTTATGCCCTGTAATGCCACAGTTGCTTTCCTGCCTACCTGAGTGAGCAGAGTGTGTATCACAAGTCGCACATTGGCTAGTCGGCCATTCCTCCAGTCTTGCTGGAAATGGCCCACCAAAAGCCCAAAGACCATACATGTAGGAAAAAATGTATTTGACACAATATTGTTTTTTCCACAGCAAGTTCTAGTGTATATAAAACTGACCAGTGATCATGAGGTTATGCATACCCTAGAGCAGATTTTTTGTGTCACTTGCAAAAGAACATTGGTGATATTTACACTGACCAACTACTGTGTAATTGAGGGCACTATAGGAGGTGCTTATGTGACTTTGAACATCCCGAAGAGTAAGACTCCCACGTTACAGTCTTATCACTCAGGCTGGTTTATGATGACAGCCAAGCTGAGTGCTGCTGGCTGTGAGTTCACCCCTGACACACATTGTCGTTTTCTCTTAGAACGGGACATCGGCCCTCCACGCGGCAGTGCTCAGTGGGAATATCAAAACAGTCTCGCTGCTCCTGGAAGCAGGGGCAGACCCTGCCCTGAGAAACAAGGTACCGGCCTCACCTTACGCATCTTTTAACTCTATTTGGCATCTACGTAGAGAGATTAAAGCAGCGTCTGCCTTAACCGAGGTAGCATCTCTCTGGATCCCTTCACTATCTTCATCCTTCAGCATGGTGATGGCACACAAGGTTGTCATTAGGTTGTGAGTGAGCAGTACCTTTAGACCCAGAGAATTAAACTAAAACCCAGTATCATCAATGGATTTCAGCTCACAACGGTGCAGAGAGGCAGTAGTGTGGGGAGTAGGGCTGGGACTGTTCTATCATCGAAGAAGTGTCCTATATATGTCACTGCTCTGTTAGTTTATCACCATCCTCCTTAAGTTGGATGTTCACAGGTTGAGAGTTGCTAGTGTTTTATTGGTTGTCTACATGGGGAATGTGTTACTTTTATATTGTTAACAGGACTTCACGCCACTGTTACAAAACCAACCCATATTTTTTTATAGTTCAAAATCTTTAGTTTACAATTAGGCCAAATTTGGAAGTGAAAGGTACACAGTAACCATAGGGGGCAAAAATGATTGTCATTGTATTTCCTCTTATTCAACATCTGCATAAGCACTCGAAGGAGCAGATTGGGGTGGGGGTGGGGGCAGTAGCCGAGGAAAGGTCTTGAGAAAACACACTAAACTATTAACTTTTGAAGGAGGAAGTAGGACGGTGCTTATTAATAGGGCAACATATGAAAAGCAATTTTTATTTTAAATTTATCTACTATTTGAATTTTTATAAGCATCTGCTACTGTGTTAGCTTTTACTAATAAGAAAAACAAAAACATAGAGTATATCATGACATTTTGAAAAGAAACTATTGAGAAGTACAATTAAACAACATGCCAAGGGCCTCTTCCATGCCACTTAATATGTGGAACTATTATTTCTTCATTCCAACCACTGAACTGTTTGAAGACAAGCTTTCTGCTAATCACTTCCTGGGACACTTGGATATGTTTTCCATTAGCCATCCTGGCTGAGTGATAAGGCAGCTGAAATTAAATTGCTGTCTTATCTTTAGACCTTGGACACAGACACCGTAAAGGAGATAGTCTCAGTTGCTAAACTGTCCAGTACTGGATTAAGGCAAGAGGAGACCATTAGTACCTTTATATAGAAACTGAATAATGCGATTCCTTGTGTGTCTCCTCGAATCTCTGCGATAATGGTTATGGGGAATTTCCAGTGACCGCAGTGCTGGACTTTGAACCCTCCCTAGAGCTACTTGAATATATGTGTGAGCTGCACATGTTGGAGTTTCACACTGCAGAAGCCCTTAGAAAACTGAGAGTAGCTTCAAGGGAATCCTGCACCCATCCAAAAGCTATCCCAAAGAAGCCAGCCTCTTTAAAGGCAGCTAGGCCATTGGGATTCCAACAGCCACCCAGGATTCCTGAGTGGGTGTTCTTGACCTTCATTCACTCATTTAACAAACACCAGTTGAGTGCCTACTAGATACCACGCACTGTGCTATGTACTGGGGAGACAATGATGAATGAGATTCACATAGTCTCTGCCTTCCTGAAGCTGAGTTTAATGAAGAGTAAACACCATTAAGCGATTGCAATACCGAGTGACAAGCGCTCTCAGCAGGGAAGTAACGAACGCTATGGAAGGCCTCCCAAAGAAAGAGGCTTCTAAGCTAGTGCAGAAGCACTCTTCTGCTCTGGGGCTTTGAGGCAGATGTCTGAGGAGAGGGAAACCAGTGGCCCCAGTAGCCACTCCCCACACGATAGCCATCCCCCTGGGCGCAGGGGTCCTGTGTTCCTAGTACCCCCAACTGAGGATTCAGAACACATCTCCCAAGAGCAGCAGGGAAAGAGAGTGGTTGATGCTGTACTGTGATGAATGTGGACCTGTTGTCCAGCTCCATAATGAGCGAGACGGCCATCAGGGGCTAGCCCAGGCACTAGTCTCACAACCTCAGCATCCTGAGAATTCGGTGGGGGCCAACCCCAACCGGGAGACGGGAGGAATGGGACCAGGTTTTTAAAACAACCTGGTTCACACTCAGTGATGTGACTGACAAAAACCTGACAGCAGTTTGAAAGTATAAAGCTCATTTAATGAGAAAGGATATAGACATTCATGGAGTTAGTCACACAGCTTGCTGTCACACACACACACCGTAACTGGACAGGCTTGTGGACAGAAGTGCAGCTTCTTAGATCTCCTTTTCTTCCAGACTGTCCAGGACCCTCTGAATGCAAAAACAATTAGTTACTCCTGAGTGGACTCTGAGACAGGACTCTGTTTACCGGGAGCATTTTTCTGCAGCCCCAGGCATTAGACCTGTTCAACACCCACTCCTGCAGGAACTAGGCTAGTAGTAGAATTTGACCCTATCAAGGGACCTCTGGTTTATTGTAGCATAGCATAGTAATCTCCTTTCTGATTCAGTCTTGCACCCGTGCTTGGTGATGGGCTGAGCCACAGATACAGGACATGCTGCCCAGCAGACCACTTGTGGTAAACTCATAGCTCCCCACAAGTCCTTGCATAATTCCCAAGAACAAGTGGGGTCCTAGCCAGCAGATGGGGGTCAGGGAGCAGTGTCCACCTAGAAGGTGGGGGCTGTAGGAACTCCACCTAGGATCAGGGTCCCAGGTAAAGCAGCTGGGGTTCCAGGCTCTGCAGCAGAAAAAAATATGTGAGACAGGTAACTTCTATTGCCAAGCCATCTCCCCCGTTTTGGGTGCCTTTCTACAGTTTAATGGCCTCCCCTGAAATCCCAAGAACATTCTTTTTATTTGTCTGTACCAACAATTCTCAAAGTGTGGTCTCTGGGCCCCTGAGGGTCCTCCACGCCCTTTCAGGAAGTCTAAGGTCAAAATAATATCTTAATACTAGGATGTTATTGGCCCTTTTCACTGTGCTGACATTTGCTTTCAAGTTAGAAAAGCACATCAAAGCAGAGGCAGCAAACTGTACTGGCAAATGATTTCACAAGCCTTTGTAAGTTCTTTTACAAATTTTGTAAACTATTTTACAGAAATACTGGTTTTACTTAAGAACATCTTTGATGAATTAATCAATAATTTTAATATTATGAAATCTTGACCCATGCTATATGTCTTTTAATATTCTGTGTGACACAATGGGAAGTATACGGAAAGTACTTCTACACACTGAATGCAATGGCTGTCTTAAAAAAAAAAAAACCACTTGTGCAGTTGTTGGAATTGCAAAGTAAACTTGCCACTTTTTAAATGGAACATCGTTTTTACTTGAAAGGATGTCTTGTATCCACCACATGAGCCTAACAGCTTCCTAACACTTAAAGGCTTTTTGTTGTTGTTGTTGAATCCGTGGTAATACTAATTAATGTGATCTTTTGATATTATCTAATGAAATGTGCCAACATTTGGAAGCTCTGCATAAGTCAGTGAACTAGCATTTTCTAAATGACCGGTGCGTGATGTTCTAAATCATGCATGGGTAAAAAAAAAATCCACCTGTACCTAGACAGACCTATGGATTTTAATGTAACAATATGAAAAGTTCATTGATATAGTTTCCAGTTCCACATTGCAATTACCTTTAAGCAGCTACCACTTGTCCTGTGTTGGTGTTGCATCAAATAAGGATACCTACAGTAATCTGAAAAGGCTATTAAAATGCTCCTCTCTTTTCTGACTTACCTACCCGTATGAAGCTGAATTTTCTTCCTGTGCTCCAAACCAAAGTAAAGCAACATATCACAATAAATTGGATACAGAAGCAAGTATGAGAATCCAGTTATCTTCTATTAAGCATTGTAGAAATATGAAAAACTATTAACAATGCTACTCTTCTCACTAACTGTATTTTTGAAAATGTGGTTATTTTTCATAAATATTTATGTTAACCTGTAATGAGATTGTTATTTTTTAAGAAATTAACAAATATATTTTAACTTTTTTTTTCAGTTTTTGTTTCTGGTAAGTTAAAAACAACAGCTCACTGGGGTCCTCAATAATTTTTAAGAGTGTAAAAAGGTCCCGACACCAAAAAGTTTGAGAACCACTGCCTCATACATTTATTGCATATCGTGGGGACTCGCTCACTAAATAAATGTGTAAGGAATGTGTCTCAGCAGCACTATAAAAAGAAATAACACACAATAAAACAGGTGATGTGGGAAGCAGTGTCCACTGAAGCTGCTCTTCCCCAGGAATCTCTGAATGTTTCCTAACTGCTTTCTCATCAAAAGATACCTGTCCTCAATTTCAAGTCCCTATCAAACAGACTGCCTCATATAATAAACTAATTAAACATAAGGTGTCAAACTTCATGCTACCAGTATTTCTTGGGCACATACGAGGTATGCTAGGCATTGTGCTGGCAGTGAGAATACATGGGTTAATAAGGCATGGGCCCTGGCGTCCAGGAGATGACAGTCCAGTAGAAGACACCGCCGGCTAGAAAATAACCGGTGCCGTTTTTACATTTAAAAGAGACCTTGAATGACTGGATACAGAACAGAGAGTCCAGTGGGGTTTTTCACCAGTGGAGAAGCAAGTAGGGTCACAGTCCCCTCCGTGGAGTCCCTAAAACCACACCAGCTACAGGAATTCACTAACGCCTATCTTATCTCCTTTCAGGCCAATAAACTTCCGGCAGAACTAACCAAAAATGAACGCATATTGCGTCTCCTCCGAAGTAAAGAAGGACACAGGAAGAGCTAACTTAGTTGCATATTTGATTGAAAGGTAGACATCGTAACCACATTGTCCAACTAGAAATTGCTTTCAAATAGTGTTGGAAATCTTTAAAGACAGAAAAATGCTCTGGATGCCCACCCTGGGTCCCTGCCCAAGAAGAGCTGTGCTTTGTGCCCTGAAGCAAGAACAGAGCAGCTCAGGGCCCCTTCCTCTCATTTACATGAGCTCTCACACTGGCCGATGACCCCACTCCAGTGGGGCCTGGCAGTTCCATGGGTTCCACAGAAACTCATTTTCAACTGTACTAACTTGGGTTTCTTTAATTGCTAATAGTTAAACTCTAATTGTCAAACCTTCTAAGAGCTTTAAATAAGAAGACAGAAAGATTGTAAGCCTTTAAGACTAAAAGCCTGACCTTCAATGAATCAATGCACTTTTGCTTTTTGTGTTAATGTATGTGTGCTAAAATATATACCTCCATTCTGTTTTACACATATACATGTATGTCATTCCAGTGTAAAATGCTTTCTTCTACCCAAGGATTATAGCCATGGTTACTAAAATTCAATGATGTGTAAAGTTGCATTATTAAAAAGCCATTTCTGACATTCCACCATGTGCTTTTCAAAGATGGACTGCTGAACTATAAAAAAGACAAATTGTTCATTTGTGAGTTGATTCTCATCTTATTCCTAGCACGTAAAAATCATTTTTACCTTCTGTCTGTAGTATAGGTATAATAGTATACAAGCAGCAAATTTGGAAATTCAGAAAATTACAAGCCACGGGAAATTGAGGCTTGTTTCTTTGAGCTTTTATTTTGGTTCTATTTTTGGGAACCTATTTCCTGTGCCATAACTAGGTAGATTTAACATGCTGTGGAATCTTGAGTTTCCAAATCACATTGCTCGATACAGTGACTTTGAGGTCCTTAGATAAGATGTGATATATGCAAGTACAATATGTCGCTATTACTATTGAAGGTATAAATAATAAAAGATTGTTATTAGTATTTAGTAAGTGTTCATCTATGCATGAGTTGACTGATTCCAAGAAAGCTTGGTTTTATTGAATTACTCCTTTGAGAAAGGTGTCACAATTTATAATTGATGCACTTTATAATCAATGGTGTCTAAATGCCTCAGTCAGTGCCTAACTGCACACACAAATATTAAGCCTTCTTTCTATAATCTACCATATTAAACACCAATCGTATTCCTGTTATTTAAAAACACATCTTTCATTTTCTTGTTCATGTTCTACTCTGTTTTCCAACCAATGTTCTATGTCGATACATTTTAAAATGGAGGGAAATGTGATCCCGAAAGATTTTTTTAACCAACTTGCAGTGTTACTAAAAGCAATTTCTTTAAGTCAGTAAATAATAGAATATAATTTTAAAATTAGAAGACATTCTCTTAAAGTTTGTGATGATCAATAAAATAATCAACAAAAATCAGCTTATTTTAATCAATGTCACAAGCAATGAGCAACCCATAGTCCCCAGAGATACCAACAGCCTGACTAGCTGTGCAACACGTCTGCATTTCAGGACAAAAAATTAGAAAGCTCTGCCTGTATTGCTGTAACACCCATATAAAAATATGTTAGTAGCTGAAAGACAGTGCCAATTTCCTCACTGACTTTCTTTTTTTTCAGCCAAGTTGTACAATTACACATATCCCCCCATGGGAATTTCATAAAGCTCTATATATATTGAGACGAAAATAATGTGGCCTTAAATGTTTTATATATCCTTCCCTGAGAGTGCTTAGGCCAAAGATGGTTAGTCACCACTGATCAAAATGGAAACAGTTTTAAGTTCCAAAAGACAAAAATGGGATGAAATCACAAACTTAATGTTTTTTCACTAAAATATGTTTTCCTTCACCTATTCATTAGATCATTTTTTGTGAATAATGCTCTTGATCAATATTAGGGCCATTAAAAATGAATCCAGTAGCTTTAACAATATGGAGGCCTTCTTACTGTAGGTAGGAGGTCTCCAGCTTAGAAGGCTATGACATTATCCATAGCAGGTAATATGATTGTATAAATCACTCACCGAAAACTGAAAAAAGGTCTGTTATTTAAAGTTAAATTTCTTTTATTTTGTGCACAGGTAGATGATTTTATTTTAATCTAATTCACAATTCAATGACTTCTGTATCCTAAGACTTAGCAATTCTTATGCAAATTATTTGCTTAATTGAAACACTAAAGTTTTTCATTGTGCCCACTTGTTTGATGAAATATTCCAGGTTGTTAAAATTCAAAATAAAGTTAACATACTCTCAGTTTGGCTTTGCTGCTTTTCCTGTTTGTTTTTAATCAGAAGTCATTTCTGTGATTTTTAATAAAATGGAATTTTAGAGTTAATAATTCAGCTCTGTAAGCTTTAATCAGAAGTAATTTCTGTGATTTTTAATAAAATGGAATTTTAGAGTTAATAAAATGGAATTTTAGAGTTAATAATTCAGCTCAGTAACATAATGATTTATGTTACTTATGGACATATGATTTCATTATTTCTACTGTAGATAACTTCTGTAATAGTCCCAAAAGGTTTTTTATCCAGACAAAAATTCCTGGGAGTCCCAGAATATACTAAAAATAGAAACTTACTTGTACATAGTGGTGGTCTTATACAGGCATGCCTCATTCTATTGCACTTCACAGATACTGTGTTTTTTACAAATTGAAGGCGAGACTCTCCACCAGCAAAAGGATTACGACTCGTTTATTGCGGTGGTCTGAACAGAACCTGCAGTATCTCCAAGGTCTGCCTGTATACCTTGTGAAAGGATTCCCCCATCTAGTTTATTAATACATTCATCACCTCACGTACTGATTTTGTGCGTGTGACAGAGAATGTCATAATTTCTATTTTTATTGTCTGTGATGCTCCTGGCTCTTCAGTCCTTTACAGTGTTTTTTTTCTTCTGAAATAGCCGATGGTTTTACACAGCTCCTTGTTTAGGAAACAAATATTTGCAGTGGTAACATCAGGAATCTGGAGAACTTTATGGCCATTCTGGCCTCCTCCCCTGCTCCATCCTGTCCTCTGCAAACACAAGAAAACTATGTCTCATCATTGCCCCACACAGGGACACCTACTCAGGGAACAACAGCACCCTCCAATGCCAGGCTACCTGGGATCCTCCGGAGATGCCTGCATTTCAGGGTGGGCCTGCACTGCAGATTTTAGAAGTGAGAAGCTGAGGTCCTAATTGCAGAACAGAGTGGCTTTGGTGCTAAAACAGGCTGAGCCTCACAGCGGAGTGTGCAGATTATTAATCATAACAATAGAAACAGCAGGTAACCTTTGTTGAAGGACTGTTATGTGCTAAGCACTTTACATAGATAATCTCATAAAGTTTATATGCATTTTCTCATTGAGCCCAAACAACAGCCCTCTGAAATAGGCACTATTATTAGCCCCATCTTGCAGCTGAGGAAGGCAGCCAGGAAGCTTGAGAGGTCACTTCCCCTCAGCGTGTTGGCTCAGTGCTGTCCTCCAGCAGTTGGGTTTTGCTGTCTTTAGTGAGGGAGAGCAGCGGAAAGTGGCGCTGGATGGAGTCACAGTAGCAGCATGAAGGTGGTAAGGCAGGAGGATACAGAGCGTATTCTTCAAAGCAGAGATAAGCTAATGATAGTTTGGGTGGAAGGGAAAGAACGGAGAGTTAGGAATCATACCAAGGCAAGTCAACCGCCAGTTTCCACGATTTGCTTGGAGAACCCCCAGAGCTCCTCATATGGTCATATTCATGGCTGAGATGACAGAAGGATACATAGCAAAGTCAGCAAAGGGAAAGGGAAATGGAGTGAAAATAAAGGAAATCAGGGGCAAGCTTTCAAGAGTCCTCTCCAGTGGAGCCACAGGACAGTTCCTCTAGCAACAAGTTGTGACAACATGCTCCTGAGAGACCCACCCAGGCTTTTAATTGCGAGCTGGTCACATAGGCACCCTCTGTCTAACATTCACCAAAAGTCCAGACTTCCAGAGGAAAACAGGCACTCAGCACAAACCACACTGTGTATACACAGTGCAAGCACAGTGAGTCGTGAGCATTTAGGGGAAGTTTTGTATCAGTGCAGGGAACTGTTTGACATCCATGTCCCCAGATGCCGGCCAGCCTCATAGCAAGAATTTCTAGGGATAGCAGTCTCCGGTCTGCTGTTAAGCATTTTTCCACATGCAAGACTTACATGTGGATGGTGCCAATAACTGCGTCAGGTGATAGGGAAGCAGAGCAGAGTCTGCGGTGAGGAGAGAGTGAGTTTTGGACGTGTCCAGTTTGAAGAATGTGTGAAATAGATTCCAGAAGGCAACTGTAAACAGCAGCTAATGTTTAGGACAAGATTGTTACTGATTTGGGGCATCATCTATGTAAAAGTGATAGTTGAAGTCATAGGATGAAAGAGGGAGATTCTGGTAAGAAAACAACTAAGAAGGAACTTCGAAGCAAAGTTAGCAAAAAAAGGGAAGAGAGCAAAAAAAAGGAAGTGAGCAAAAAAGAAATGAAATGGACATGAGTGGGAAATGAAACACATGTCAAGGAGGGAGAAAGTTCCGAGGAAAGAGTGGGCAAGAAACCCCTTGAAGGAGTGTGGCTATACAGCACAAGGGCTGGCCGTATGACACAAATTCCAGACTGACTTATGCTCCACAACTCTGGCCCTGGTGAGCGTGTTCAGTCCCCAGAGAACTCCAACAGAGGATAAGGACAACCGGCCCTGGTAACTCATCAAGGACCAAAAGCTAATGTTAAATTAAAATAAATGATTGTCTCGAAATAATTTTAGTTGTGGCTGGCAGAAGTGTATTTGTGAAGCCACTGCTAACACTTTCTAAGAATTGCTGGCAGCTCTGAGAATGCATCACCTCCGCTTTGTCACAAGTATAAAGATGCAGGATCTGAGTGGTGCAATGTAAACAGACCTGTGAGTTAATGTCGTATTACCTTACTGGTAAAATAAGAGACAATACATGTATCTATATCAGTTTTTAGACTGGTTTTAATTGTTGGGTTTAGTGCGCGCAAGCACGTTGAGGTGAATGGAGCGACTCCATGTTTGGGTTTTTCATGCCATTGTCCCACATCTGCTCGTGCCCTTGTACTTACCTGAGCTTCAAAAACAATGGAGAAAAACAACAAACAAACAAATGAACAAGTTGTATGCTCTTTTAGCAAAATTAGAATAATTTATTTCACACTCCTCTAGCTGACAGCTAGAGGAAGTCTCTTGGCTTAATCTACCAACACATTGAGATAGACCAGTTATACAAACAAAGGTATTTTCTCCAGGCTCTCTCACTACTATACTTAACCCTCAGGTAAATAATTTATACATTAGTCAGTCTGGAAGGTCTTAGAATCTTTTCCTGGTGCTCTTACCCTTATTTTTAGCAATACTTTAAGATAATTTTAAACTATGAGTGAAGTCATGTTTTAACAATTGAAGTTTTTAAAGACCTTCAGTTCTCCGATGCCTTGTCAGCTTTATCAGAAAGAATTACTTCTCCCATCTTTAGTCTCTTCTTCCCTCCCTCACTTGGATATAACCCTCTAATTTTTAATAAGAAATGCTGGTATTCTTCCCACTTCCTGCAGTTGGACTTGTAAGAATAGCATTTGAAGTCTTCAGTTTACAAGAGTTGGACTCCATGTATTAGGAAAGATTAGACCAAAAGCCACTGCAGGCAAAGGCAACTGTGTAATGACTGAACTCTCCAAAGAAGGAAACACCATTGCGAAACCTGACTGCCAAGTTTCAAGTTATCCCTACCTGGTAGCATCGTATATGAGTGGAAATCCCACCACAACACATTACTGGATTAATCACCAAATCAACTGTCCTCTCTAGGGTGAATAATATTTTACCCTAAGTTTGACCAACGATGCCCCATTTCTAAGTCAGCCAGAACCACTGACAGTGAAGACATCAATGAAATTTGTCTTTAGTATGGAGTTTTAAAAGTCTATTGCAGAACCCCAAAAAATTGAGTGCATATTTCAAACAAAAGACACCTACAAGAATGTTCATAACCCCAAAGTAGCCAAAACTGGAAACAAGCCAAATGTCTGCCATGCAGTTTTATATCATGGAATACTACTGAGCAATAAAAAAGGATTAACTACTGCTTTGAGCAATGAGAATGATTCTCACATCCATAACATCTCACAATGTTGAGTGAAAGAAATCAGACTCGGAAGAGAATGATCTATTGACACGCAGCTCAAGAACAGGCAAAATCAATTCGTGGTGATAGAAGTCAGAATGGTGGCTACCTCTGGGTCAGAGGAAAGTGCCAGAGGAGTGCCCGAAACATCCTATGTGCTTCCTCTGGGTAGCGGCTACGTGGATCTATGGTAACGAGGCTCCAAGACGGTTCCCAAAGCTTCCCTCCTCTGGTAGTCAGTCTTGTCCTTGCGTCGTCCCCATCCCACACTGAATCAGGCCTGGTCTGTGTGTGATCAATAGAGTATGGAAAAAAGGATAGCATTTCACCTGTGAGGATACATCAGAAAAGATGTTGTGACTCTGCCTGTTCTCTCTTGGACCTCTCTGGAGGAAGCCAACCTCCAAGTGTTAGAGACACCCAAGCAGCGCTACGGAGAAGGCCGCGTGGAGAGGAGCGGACACCTCCTGCCAGCAGCACCGGGCGGTGAGGGGGAGCCCCTGCAGCCCCAGTCAAGCGTTCAGATGATGGCAGGAGAAACATTCATTGCATTAGTGTTTCCAGTAACAAAAGTGACAGAACAGATGTCCAACAGGAGATTGATGGAATAAATTCTGTAATGGATCAAAAACTATTAACATGCATATATCTGGCTTTCCCCTCCATCTGCTAAGTAAAAAGAATTTTGTTTTGGGTCAACGTTCTCATCTCTGTCTCTGAAGGAAATGTTTAATAGCATTTAGACTCTTGTGATGCAGCATCATGAGGAATGCAGAGACACAGAAAGATGCAGAGCTTTGTGAAATCCAGACAAGCTCAGGACTGTGAAGAAGCATAGGGAAAAGGAAAGGTAAATTTATGCCGTATGCCTGGAAACATACAAACCCTTCACTGTACCAGACCTGTAACTTGAGACGTTGTTGGTTGGTGAACTGTATCTCATTGACTTAGGCGATGTTCTGAGGCTGGCCTACATTGTTGGCTTCAGGAATGTTATATACATATAATGAA